AACTATATACAAAGTTAATAAGAATTTTATATTATAATTAAAATGTTTGTTGAAAAAGAAAAACTTGAATGAAAAAAGAAAAAAATTTTAAATTCCAAAATATTTCGAAAATAAAAAAATATCTTGTTTTGTATGCGCTTACATAATATCAAAACGTTTATATAAAACTACACCTTCTCTCTAAAAATTAAAACAAACAAATAAAGAAAAAGATGAAAAAATAATTTGACCGGATCTGATGGTCCATGATAAATTTTATTGTAAAAACAAAACAAAAACAAAAAAAATCAAAGTTAATTTAATGCTCTACCGGTAAAAATGGATTACCAACCGTTTGAGATTAGAAAAACACAGTGAGCTCAAATAAAAATACAATAATTAAGATTTTAATCAAATTTTTTTATAAAATATAAATCTAAGATAGTGAAACCATGTTCTTTTTTAACTATCTTTTCTCAAAGTGCACAACTGTATCATTTACTTTTTTTTTTAAGGATGATATCAAAAATGAAAGATAAATTCACAAAAATGTGAATGATGAAGACAATGATTATCGGGACATTGTCAAACTACTGATATTGAATAATTTTTTTTTGAGTTCAAAAATAACCGTAAATTTATTTTTTTTAAATTTTCTCAACCAACAATATGGTTACGCTTCGAAACTTTCATAAATTTCACTAACAAAAAATATTTATTTTGGTGCTATTTTAAAAACTGAAAACTTTAATCAATTGAAACATTAGATTACATGTTGGATTGAATTTCCATGAATCCTAACCAATTAATTATTGAAGTGGATTAGAAGCTGAGCAGAGCTGTTTTTTGAATATTATTTTTAGAAAAAATTTTGCTCAATGAAAATTTTCAATCTATCTCAGCATAAATACACTGTAAAAAAATTTCTTAATAGCTTAAGACTTACATTATTGCATTGTAAATTTTGCGTTGAGATAAGAAAGAAGTCGATTTTTTTGCAGTAAGGAGAAAAAAAGAATGCAAATTTTAATGGCTTGCACATTTTTTTTTCTTTGTTTTATAAGTACTTCAATCTGTTGTTAATCATTTGATTTATTTAGAAAACAATTAAATGAAGTAACAAAAGCAGGTCACAAAACAATCTACATTTTTCTCTTAATTTATTTTTGAAAAAGAAAAGACAAAAACAATAGAGTTGACACTTGACATGAGAAGTTTTTATTTTATTTCTTCTTAATTAATTTTTCGCTGCATAAATTTTTAAAGGGAACATCGCAAATCTTATACAAGCTATTTTATTTCTTAAATAATTGTTTTAAATATTCGTAAATATCGTCTGTATGAATGTGCATATTAAATACATTTGAATGTGTTTTATCGTTTATTTTTAGAATTTAAGAATTATATAAGTTTTGAAAGGTGTACACACAAATATACTTATGTGTCGGTATACGAGCTTTCGTAACTATTATATGACTTTGACGCAAATAAATAAATAAATAAGAAAAGAAATCTTTCAAATCTTTTATTAAATAATTTTTTCATTCTAGTTTTAAAACAAGTTATTTTAAGCGATTTAAAGAATGCATGTTACTTTTAAACATAGTTATTCTTATTGAGTCTATTTTTGTTTTTATTTTGTTTCAAGTAATGTGAAAATTAATTGTATGTTATATTAAAGTTATGGGAATTAAGAAAATATACATAGTTATTTAGATAAATAACATAGTAAACACAAATTAAATATAATTACTTATATCCGTTGATAAATTTTTTGTTTTACATCATTACATAATATTTTTCCTTCAAAATATTTCTAATTTGATTTAACAAGTCATCGGGTGTGATATTTTAGGAGGAATATCAGCAATATTCCTCATTAGGAAGAGAAATATTACCAACATTTTTACTTAACAAATCATATTGCAAATTTCGACAATGAAGTGAATTGCATGGTTTTTATAAATTTTCCACATACATGGGTGCAAATTTTGCCAATATAAATATATTCCATGAAATAAATGCAATGTACGGGTAATAATTGATTTTCAATCAAATGAGTTAAAAGACAATTAAAATAAAGAGTCACTCCCTGTGCTTACTTAAAGGATTTTCAAGAATTTTATGTCAAACTTTATTTTCGAAATAGAAAACTACTAATATTGTCAAATACTGTCAAATGTATAACGAATGAAAGCAATTTTTAATAAACTTGAGTAGGTATGATAAATATTTTATATTCTTAGTATTTTTGACCTCTTTTTGAACTTAGAAATCACATATACTTGGTTTTCTAAATATATATATGTAGATTCACATGAACGAAATAAATGTTTCTTGACACGATTAGCTCCCTTTAAGTAAAACTTAAAAAACACGTTGAATTTTTTATTGATTCTTCTGTAACTGGTGTATGTGGTAGGACATAATTAGTTCTTAAAATAAAATTAACATTATATTATTATACGACATAACCAGTTTTTTTTTTATATTTTATACTTATGCAAAATTCTTTGTTCTTGAAGTTCTTAAAGAAAAATACACGTTTTAGAGTGTCTATATTTTTAATGTATATGTTATTTTAAAAAAATTTTTGGTTATTAAATATTTATTCATTTTATACTCGCCAATGCCCATAACACAAGAAAAACAAAAAATTAATATTTTTTTTAATACAAAGTATTTGAAAATTAGTTAATAACTTTCAAAACCGGATTAGTAAAAACTTTTTTATAAAAAATGAAAAATTTTTTTTTATTCTTAAATATCAATAAAAAGATGATCTAAAATTAATTTTTTCGTTCTAAGAGGAAAAAACAAGTTTTTCTGCTTCAATATTTTTAAAAATTTTCTTAATATTAAGAATTAAATTTTAGAAGGAACTTGCATGTGTGTGTATTTTTTTAAATAATTAAAATGTAATTTTGTAAAAAAAAACACACAAATTTCCTTAATTGATTTTTTTACATTTTTATTACTCAATCTGATTGACTCTTTTAAATTTTTTTGCAATCTTGTAATGTAAACAAAGTATTTTTATTTAATAAAGATGGCAAATCAAAAGTTTCTGTAGTAGTAGTAGTAGCTACTTTTTAACCCAATAATGAAATAAATCTTAAATTTTTCAATAAGTATCTTATAGAAGGAATGTTATTTTGCACACATTAATATTTTTCTAGAAACCTTATAAATTTTTACAAATAATTATATGAAATTGGTACAGTCTGTGGTACCAATAAGAATTTCATAATTAGAAATTCTCCAATAGTATTGATAGGTATTGTTTTAGGTTAGGCATTACTGTAAAATTATTAAGAATAGTAAATAGAAGAAATACATTCTAGAATAAAAAAATAAAAAAAGTTTACTTTAAAGCAATGATTTTAAAAAATAAAATATTAATTGCCTACATTTTAATTTATTCGCTACTGACTTTACAATTTGTTTATTAAATAGCCTTATTTTATTCATTTTAAAGTATTTAATCAAATTATTATTATTTACAGATAACTTCTATTAAATATTTTTTTCTTGCTTGAATAAGTACCCTCAAATTGCTAGTACATACATATAAATTAGTTACAATAGAATGTTACTAAATATATTTATATGTTATTATAAATGTAAGATTGATTGATTATCTATGTAACATAAGTATATGTATATTTTTAAATACAATATAAGTATATGAAATATATGTATTTATATTATTATTTTGATAAAATGAAATCAGTAAAATTTTACGTTATTTTGTTATTATTAATTGTTATAAATGAGAACATTACACATTTAGAGTAGGCACATTATACATAAAAATTTAAATTACATGCGTCTTTACATAAACATGTATAAATTAATTTAAAAGTAATAATACTATATTTTATTCCATTACAATTTTAGTTATTGCACATACGTATGTATTTTGCAAAGGCTTTTATTGTCAAATGTAAAAAAATCGTAAACATTTGTGCTGCATTCTATTTTTTCGTCCGATTTTAGTTTGAATCAATTCGAAAGATGAATACATTTAATCAAATACACTCAAAAAAAGTGGAATTTTAAGTTTTCAGCTTTTCGTTATAATTGTTAAAGTGAAGAAAATTATTAATTCCCGTTCAACCATTAGCTATACCCACATTAAAGTTACTGAACGCTTATTTCTAAGAGGTAAAGTAAATGAGTTTATAATGTACTTATAGATAATGTGTCTGATTGCATTTAGTTTAAACAAAGCAAAGTGAAAATTAAAAAAAAAATAAAATGTAATTTTTTTTTAAAACTTTTGACTCATACAATTAAACTACTGCAACTTTTATTTTAGTTATTTGAAGTTGACGTTAAAAAAATTTGATTACACATTTCCTATGCTTTTTTATGTATATTATATTTTTTCCAATATTCAGATACCGTATTGGTATGGATTTCAGTTTAAGATGAACTTTCTTTTTCGCTTTGAAAAAATTTTGGAAAGAAATTACCAAACATATTTTCCATTGTTTTTATTTTCACTAAAAAAGCATTTAATGCTTATCCAAAAATATTTTGAAGTGGACAAAATTTAGTTTTTAAAAATATGAATGGCGCTTCAGTTAAAGAGTTTGAGTTTTACTTATTTGTTTAGATTGAAATTCGTCGTAAAAATGCGTTATGTAACTAAAAATCAATTTGAAATGCTAGGGGTCAAAAGTTACCAACATTTGTTACACAATTGTTCAACCAAGTGAGAATATAAGGTAAATTTTGATTTTGAATTACTCTTCAATTCATGTAAAAACATGACCAAAGCAGTAGTTGTAATTTTAACAAATGAAATTGGCAAATTCATAAAATATTTTGATATTTTATAAATTTTATTTATTATTTTAATTTTTCCTTTTTTTATTTTTGTTTTGCATTTTTTTTTTACTTTGTATGCGTAATACTAAAACAAAATTATGACGATTTTTTTTGTTTTAACATCTGCTTGAAAATAATTTTAATAATTTTGTGCCTGCTAAATGTTTTAAACTAATGAAATTAAGCTCGAAATAGAATCGAATACGATGTTTAATAACGACGATCTGTATTTAGATAATTTATCAATGGAACAAAGAAGAAAAGTCCTGCGGCAACCAAGAGCAGAGCCGCAAGGGCAAGAAAATCTTCAAGAAAATGGTACAACAAAATTAAAAAATGAAAATCATCATGTTAATCGACCGACTGGTAAACAACGTTCAAATGATCATGCAAAGCAATACGCTAGCCGTAGTCTTTCTGAAGCTAGAAATCCAGTTTTGATACAATCTAGTCCGACAGGTACTGCTAATCGTAATTCATTAAAAAAAATCAATTCTAATCGCTCTCTCATGGATATTTCACCGACATCATATAACACATTAATTATACATAATGATGATTCATTAAATACTTTATCAGGTAGAGTGGATTTACAATCGAATGCAGCACAAAAAGAGCGGCCACGTCCATATGGTGAACCTGGTTTACAAGAAATTACTGAAATTCCAGATGATTATTTAAAACAGAGTCATGTTTTAAAGCATTTAGCAAAAGAAATCAAAGCTCCTTCAACAATTAAAAATTCAAAATATAACACGACTACTCGAGATAATATGGTAACTGGAAAACTTGAAATAAATATTGGTAGAAATTTAATTGATTGGCAACATCATCATCATCATCTTCAATACCATTCACATCAATATCAATTGAGTAATTTACAAAAACTAAAACGAAGTCGAAGTTATCCTGAAATGACAAAATTATCGTGGAATGCTGAAATTGAAAATTTATCAAAAGAAAATATTGAACTAAAAGAACAATTATTTCAATGTCGTATGAAAGTTGCAAAAACACAAAAACTCGAAGAAGAAGTCTCGAATATATACGAAGCTTATAATGATTTGGTAATATCCTGTGAAAGAAGAGAAAAATTAGAGAATATGGCTAGAATTAAATTACAAGATAATCTTGAAAAGGTGAACGCCATGAATAGGGCACTTAAAGATCAGGTAGATGTTCTAAAAACTCAATTATTAGCCCCGGCCGAAAATCAAATTTTAATAGCACAACTGTTTTCACAAAATAAAGAACTTCTAGCAGCGAAAGAACGGCAAGATATTGAATTAGCTGCACAAGCAGCAACTCTTCAAGAACAAAGAACTCATATCGGTATATTGGATACTGCTTTGAATAATGCCCAAAGAAATATTCGACGACTTGAAGATGAAATGCGAAAAAAACAAATGCATATTGAACGTTTAATACAAATACAAAATCTTGACACCAAAGATATTAAAAATAGCAGCGGTAGCAGTACTGCAACAAGAGAAACACCAAAATGGCAATTTTCAGAAAATGCTAATCAATTATTACGACTCGGAAGTGAACAACGTAATTTTAGTGAACAAAGAAGTTTTGGTGATCAATCATCTGTTGTTGTTAGACCAAATACATCAAAATTGTCATTAGAACGTAATCATCAAAAAACTGAAACTGAACGTATTATTGCTGAAGCAAAACAAGACAAACAATTTCTGGAAGAAGTACATTCAGCTCAACGTAAAGTTGGTGATTTGCAGGCACATTTAAAAGGATTAGAAAATAAGTTGGCTGAAAAAAATATTTGTGGTTCATCATTTGATTCGTATAATTTAAATGCTGATGGTTATCCATTAAGACCAATGTGCTTTAATAATACATCATTTAAAGGTTCAAATGCATCATTTAATGCATCATCTGAATCCCATACACCAACATTGTTAGACTCTTCCCCAACAACTTCTTATCCACCAACATCAAGTTTAACTACAAATAATAATAATTATAGTCCAAGTTTATTAAATGATGTTGTTAATGTCGTAACAACGTCATCAAATTATCAAAATAAAAGTCCAAATTCATCATTTAATCATCAAAATTCAGTTAATCGTAAAATAAATGTTGTAGGTGGAAATCTTGTTGGTAGTAATTATCCACCAAAAAGTCCATCAAATTTTTCAACAAGTTTTGATGCAAACTTTTCACAAATTTCTCCAAATTATAAAACATCGTTATCACCATATGATTATAATACTTTTGACGAACGATTAAGAAAAAAATAAACTTTTATATTCGAAACGAAATTATTCAGAGAAAACAAAAATAATCAATCCAAAAAAAATCAATCCAAATTTAAATTTATACAAAAAAATACATACATACATTTGCGGCGTAACGTGTAACAATAACTTTCCAAAAATATATTGTAAAATTTTGAAATGACGTGCCTTCATATAAGAATAAAAAAATTTTTGTACTTTTGATACATGTTGTATTATAGCGAGTGATTTGAATAAAATAAATAGTCCTTTTAGCTCTTTGAACAGGGCAAGTTTTTTTAAGAACAGGGTATTAAAAAAAATTTACTTTTGGACCGTTACTATTATGTACGTAATAACACGATAGGTTTATTTAAATGCAACCCATTGGATTAAAAGCTTTCATTTTTTTGAGTACCATATGACAGAGTGAAAAACAGGTATAACAAACCAAATGATGAAAATCAGTTAAATTTACTTCACAGAAGTTTATTAATTTATGTAATGAATTCAACGTAGAGATTTAAACAATATAATACCAACTTAGAAATTGATTGGTCCAAAATAATTGTCGAATTTAAATTTTTTTTACTAATTTTATAGTACAAACATCTTTAAAATACTTTAAAAATAACAGCAAAACAATAGCAAAACTTGAAAACAGTTTAAAAATTTCGGCTAAAATATTTCTATACAAAATGTGAATGTGATTTTAAGGAAAAGTTATTTTTTCGTCACTCATTCTGGCATTTCCAAGCTAATGTATTAGATCAATTTGTATATTTTTGTAAATAAAAATATTTTGAAAATAATTGATTCTCGTACATTTTTCATATAAGTATATGTATGTGCATAAGTATACATGAAAAATATTTTAAAATAAAATTTTACATTTTATTTTTAGTTTAGTGTGAATTTAAAATAATTTGTAAGATTTAATTTAATAATCAAACTTTTGGACACGATATGGAAGATTACAATGGATATTTATAAATTGATAAAAAATATCTATAAATATTTAAAAAAAATTAATAAAATTAAATAAGTATAAATTTTAATTGTAAAATTCAATTTTTGCTATGTATTCTGTTATTTAGGTCTTATTATTTTCTACACATTGGTCACAAAGTATATTAATAGCTAATTATTACTAGTTTTATGAGTATAAAATTTTATGAATGTTATAAGAAATAGTTATGCCTTCCACGTATTCTGCATATTACACTCCTTTATATGAGATATGTAGAAAAATTTCATAAAACATAATCATAAAACTAAGTAAAGGAAATGTAAGTCTTTATAAATTGATTGCAGATTTAAAGGCCGGATACATTTTTACTTTTTTGGTATTATAGATATATATAAATATAACTGTTATTTAACTATTAATTTATAATTAATAATTATATTTACAATTTCATAAGAAAATATATATATTTGGATTGATATTTTCATTATTATACACAAAACAATTATTTTGTAAAATAAAACTGTCAATAAATAAACCATTGTTGATATTGTACTCCCGAATTTAAATGAAAAATCTGCTATAATTTGAAATTAGTAATTCAATAAAATGCCTTAATATAAATACTTCATATTTGTATTTTTATATTAAAAAATGCCTTAAAAATATATAAAAAAGTATTAACATATCATTCAGTAGAAAGACCAAAATTAACTTCAGTTGTTAAATTTAAATATTATTTAACATTTTACGTATTTAATTAATATAAAATGGAACGAGACAAAAGATATATTGGTTCATGTTTAAACTTATTATGAGATTAATATTGTGAAATAAAATTAATTTATTACATTAACAAAATACAAACATATATCAAAATAAAGGACTTAGAATTATAGATTTTAAGAATATTTTATATTACTATATCCAGTGTAAAAATTTAATTAACGATAGAACGAAATCGATTCATGTGTCTAATAAGAAAATAAAACAATTAATAAAAAACCAAAAAAATTTTTAAAATTGTTTAAACATTTACAAAAAATCTATGTATATAAGATTCTGTTGTTCTTGAAGCATCGAAAATACTGAAATATCAGCAATATTTACATTATTTAGATGAATACTACTATATAAAGTTTTATCATAAAATTAAATATAATTTTGCAAAAACACATAAGCTTCAGCAAATATTAATCAAAGTTATTGTACTCTACTAAATATAATCTTTTTTAAAATACCGAATAGTCTTCTTTTCCTTATTTGAATGCTTGTTTAAAGGAAAAAAAATAATCTAGATAACCTAATATGCCTACATAATAAGGGGTAATCTTATAAAGTTGTAAAGATCTTGTTAATTTTCATTTAACAAAAATTAAATAATTTAATTTCATTTTCTGATGCTGATAAAATATATATTCATTTTTTTTAAATGAACTTCACAATTGCGCGTTTGAATGAGTGCATTATATAATGTAAGTACCCATGTAATACTTTTAACTCTTTATCTTGTTAAAAATAAATATTTTTTTAAGGATTGTGACCTTCTGATAATGATTTATGCATATTAAAAATATACATTTAAATTCTTTTGTTATATTTTGCAAAATAACTGAAAACAAGATTTTGAGGCTTTTAATTATTTTTCTACTATGATTCAAAATTCATTTCAATTTTAACTTGTAAATGGTAAAGTAAACTAATATAAAGAATGAAGAGAGAATAAAAATTTAAAAATTGGAAAGGATTTTTTTTTTGAAATTTTAATTTTCTCAAAGTTTAAAGAAAAATAAAATTTTAAACAACTACCAAATACATATAATATACACAGTATTGATTTAACAATACACATACGTAGTTCAGAAGTTAAAGGATAAGTTATTATTTATTGTAAGTGTACATACTGTAAAATAATATAACGAAGTTCTTTATTTTTCGCGTTAAGAATAAAAAATTATATTTTTTTATCGTTGAAATTTAAAAAAAAAATATTCGAAACCTTTGCCATATTTCCAAGACTATGGAAACGGACTTTTAAAACTAAAATTGATATTAATAATGCATTTATATTAATATTACGAATTAAAATTGTAAACTTAAAGAATATGTGCGTGATTTATTTTTAATTATGCATATAGAGTATTTTAGTTTTTAATATGTATGTATGCTTTTATGTACGATATCGGGAAATTTATTGACATGTTAGTAATTTGATTCATAAACTGATTTATTGTAAATTTTGTAAAATTACCTGGAGTGGGTTTTATTATCTTAGAATTGGCCGATTCTGATGGAAAGTTGTCTGAATTACCAAAGATTTCTTCAAATTCATTTTCGTATTCACTCTAAAAATATAAACAAATCTTCAAAAACATGCATACATATTTTTAAACAGAAATTAATTTTCATATTTGTTATTACCTTTATGAATTTTAAATTACTTTCCAAAATTGATGCGTCACATTCTAAAAAGTTTGGTTTTTTATCCATTTCCAATTTGTTATTTTTTACAACAAGAAAAATTCTAGAAAACTTTTTGTTGTTCAAAAAAATAAGTCTGCAGTAACAACTAATCTCTATGATTTCTCAAATACGAATACGAACAAAATAAAATAACTTAATATTATGACACTGACAGATTACCGCTGTCAAAATAGTTAAAAAAAAATGAGCTTTTTGCCATATGATAATTTGGTATGTGTTTGAATATATGGTATTGCCAGTATAAAAATATAAAAGCGTTATCTTGCGGCTACGAATTACTATACAAATATTACGAGTACTAGCACTTGCTGTAAAAACTTTCCAAGTTCTTTTAATGTTTATGAAAGGTTAAGAAGTGTATACAAAGTATGTATTGAAAATGACTAAATTGACATTATGTTCGAAGTATGTATGTGTTTGATTTAGTGGCAACTGGCAGCAAGAAAATAGAAATTTAAAAATCAGAATAAAGCCCGCAATTAATGCAATTAAATGTTTTTAAATTGTATTGATTAATACTTGTTTAAGTTTAGGTTTAGAACTTTTTATTAACGTTTATTTGGGAAATGAATCTAGAAAAAATCCGATAAAAAAAATATGTCAGCACTAAAACGGTTTTTAATATATGTACATAATGTATGAACTTTCTCGTTTGCTTTTACATTGTGTTTTAAACATAAAACAGCTGATAAGCTACAAGCATGCGATTTTTCCATAAATTATTGCAGTCATATTGATATTTAACATTTGTTTTTCATGTTTTAGGAATCAGTCAGTTTGTATACTGTGAGCAGGATTATTCAATTGGTAAAGGATTAATATTGTAAAGGAGGTTGAAAGTAATATTCTATTTTTTGAAAGAGTTTTTTGTGCTTAATAATTGGAAATAAGCATATAAAAATCTCTTAATATGGAAGAATATTGTGGATCTACTTTTTGGGTAAATTTTTTTTAATTTAGGTGAATAATTTAAATACAAAACTAAGAAATTAATTGAAGGATTATGATAAAGTGTGGAATTCTGATAATCCCGATTTTACACCTTGTTTTGAACAGACAGTTTTATTGTGGGGACCTTGCATATTCCTCTACGTGTTTGCTTTACTGGATTTCTTTTATATTAGAAGCAGCTTAGATAAAGATATTCCATGGAATATTCTGAATACTTCAAAAATAGTAATCAATGCGATTTTAATATTAATTAGCGCTATAGACTTTATATATGCACTTGCAAATAAAGAAAAATACCCAGTTCATCCAGTTGATATCTATAGTCCTTTAATAAAAATCGCAGCCTTTGTAAGATTTAAAAACAGGTTATGTAATTTTTAAACTATTAGAAATTTTATTTTAGATATTAGCTGGGGTACTATGTGTCCTGAACAAGAAACATGGAGTTCGTACGTCTGGACTGCTATTTTTATTTTGGTTTTTGTTGACAGTTTTTAGTATTCCCAGATGTAGGACGGAGGTATTTGCGAAACAATTGAGGGATAAAGAAAGTAGTTATCCAGCAGCAAACGAATATGATGACTACAAATATGTAACATTCATGATATTCTTTGCGTGCTCCATAGCCATGCTAATACTTAATTGCTTTGGCGATCAAAAACCAAACCAAACGAAATACCCAAAATCTGAGGTAGGTATAATTTTTAATATATTTACCTGCGAATTAAAATTGAAAGAAAATGTGTCAAATTTTAGAAAGAGTGCCCAGAACTTGCTGCTAGTTTCCTTTCAAAAGTAACTTATCAATGGTTTGATAGAATGGCTTGGCATGGCTTTCGTAAGCCTCTTGAGTTAGAAGATTTATGGGATCTTCGACCGGTTGATTCATCTAAAGAAGTTATGCCAGTTTTTGCCAAACACTGGAACAAATCAGTTCAGAAAAAGTTAGAAAGAAATCAAGCAATAGAAAATGGATTCACAATGCCCTCCTCTGAAACTAAGGCAACATTTAATAAAAATTCTGCAAGTGTTACTTTCCAGAATCCCAATGTCGGTTCTACAAAACAACAAGCATCAATTATGCCGCCAATTATAAAATCTTTTGGGGGAATTTTTCTTTTCGGATCTGCTCTAAAGTTGATTAATGACATTTTGACTTTTGTGTCACCACAGCTTCTTCGTTTAATTATTAATTTCGTGGATAATGATGGTAAAGAGCCAGAACCACAATGGAAAGGAGCATTATATGCTGTATCGCTATTTGTTGTCGCTTCGTTTCAAACTCTTGTATTAGGTCAATACTTTCATAGAATGTTTATTGTGGGTTTGAGAATTCGTACAGCTCTCATAAATGCAATATATAGAAAAGCTTTAGTCATATCAAATAGTGCAAAAAAAGAGTCAACAGTTGGAGAAATTGTTAATTTAATGGCTGTGGATGCACAACGCTTTATGGATTTGACGACGTACTTAAATATGATTTGGTCCGCACCATTACAAATTGGTGCTGCTTTGTACTTTTTATATGATATTTTGGGTCCATCTGTTTTTGCTGGTCTCGCCGTTATGATAATTTTAATTCCAATTAATGGCGTAATTGCTAATAAAATTAAAGATTTACAAATTAGGCAAATGAAAAACAAGGATGATAGAGTTAAGTTAATGAATGAAGTATTGAGTGGCATTAAGGTAAGGATTATGATAAATTTACTTGTTAGTAAAATTTTAAACTGTAATGTAAAAAAAATTTAGGTACTTAAATTGTATGCTTGGGAACCTAGCTTCGAAGAACAGGTACTGGAAATTCGTAATAAAGAGATAGACGTTTTGAAAAAGACTGCATACTTAAATGCTGGTACATCATTCTTGTGGTCGTGTGCACCTTTCTTGGTAACTTACAATTTCTTAAAATTAATTAAAATTTTATATCAGAATTCTCCTTGAAATAATGCTAAAATCAAATTGGTTCCAGAATAATTTTTATAAAATAAATTTACCAAAATTTTCTAACTTTAAGTTTAATAAGTAATACTTAAAAATATTTTCTAGTGAAATATCTCAAATAATAAAAATAAATCTTTTCAAACTGAAAAAATTCAGGTTGCAATAGTCACTTTTACAACTTACGTATACAGTGGAGATGATCATGTTTTGACGCCAGAAAAAGCATTTGTTTGCATAGCTCTTTTTGATATTTTAAAACTTCCACTGGCAGTTTTGCCTCTATTAATTGTCTATATTGTTGAGGTAACATAAAACATTATGTATAAAGTAAAATATTTCAAGCTTCCACTTTCATATTTTTGGAATTTGGATAAGAAACAGTCTATTCTTTTTCTTCCACTCTTCCTTTTTACTAAGGAATATTTAATAATTTCATTTTAGCAACAAATATAATAGATTAAGTGCTCTTCGGGGAAATAACTTTCATATAATGTACATACATACATACTTTAATGCCTGGTGTGTTCTTAAGGAAAATTGTTTTTGAAAAATATAAAACAAAAATACGATTTCTCATACAAAGATAATTTAGATCAATATCATGATATAAAATCAAAACACTTTCACAGCCATTTATTTATTCTTTTTAAATAATAACATTTAAATTTAAGATTCTATCTTCTATCTATACTTCTTTACAAACTTTTTAAAGGTTTCTTTGGTTACATTTGCGGTGTATGTTTTAGTTGATGAAAATCATGTTTTAAATGCAACAACGGCTTTTGTTTCATTATCTCTTTTTAATATTCTTCGTTTTCCTTTATCTATGCTACCGATGTTAATATCAAACATGGTTCAAGTAAGTGCTAAATCTTTTTTAATTCTTCAAATGACATTTTAACAATAAGACGATAATTCATATTTGCGATGACTTGATTATATAAAATTCTTGCAAAAAGTCTTTTTGTTAAAATCATTTAAATGCATATAAAATAAAATACACTTAAATATTTAAATTAATTTATGATTATAATTTTAGACACAAGTCTCTGTAACTCGTATTAATAAATTCATGAATAGCGAAGAGTTGGATCCAAATAATGTATCACATGACAATTCTGAACGTAAGTATTGTGCCTACATTGTGTATATAAATTTTAATTATTTCAACTCAATAGCGAACCCTTTAATAATTGAAAGCGGAAACTTCTCTTGGGGAGATGAAGATTTAATCTTGAGGGATATTAATATGAAAGTCGCAAAACATCAGCTAGTTGCTGTTGTTGGTACTGTCGGTTCTGGAAAAAGTTCTCTGATAAATGCTTTCCTTGGTGAAATGGACAAAAAATTGGGGCGTGTAAATACAGTTGGAAAAGTGGCGTATGTTCCACAACAGGCGTGGATTCAAAATGCGACAGTACGTGAAAATATTCTTTTTGGAAAACCTTTCGATAGAAAAAAATATGAACGTGTAATTGAAGCTTGTGCCTTAAAAGCTGATATTGAAATGTTATCAGCTGGTGATAGTACCGAAATTGGTGAGAAAGGTATTAATTTGTCTGGAGGTCAAAAACAAAGAGTATCATTGGCCCGAGCAGTTTATAGCGACTCAGATATATATTTATTGGATGATCCATTAAGCGCTGTAGATTCCCATGTTGGTAAACATATTTTCGAAGAAGTAATAGGACCAAAAGGATTATTATCAAAAAAAACAACAGTTTTAGTAACTCACGGTTTGACTTTTTTACCAATAGTTGATAACATATTTGTGTTAAAAGATGGTCAAATCAGTGAAAGTGGTACTTACCAAGAACTTCTAAATAAAAAAGGTGCTTTTTCAGAATTTTTAATACAACATTTGCAAGAAGCAAACGTTGAAGATGATTTAGAAGAAATCCAACAGCAATTAGAGGGCTCAATTCAAAGTAAAGAATTATTGCAACAGTTAAATCGTGCTATAAGTAGGCAACGAAGTGAAAGTCAATCATCAGATACGGTATCTCTTAATTCTGATGAAGGAGGATCTGGTGATCATAAAGGTTTACGTAAACGAAAATCTATAGATAGGCAAAATTCTAAAACCTCCGATTCATCAAGTGCATTGGAAAAACCAGAAAAAAAACTTTCTAAGGAAGACGACGGCAAACTGATAGAAAAAGAGACATCTCAAACTGGAAGTGTATGTTTTTAATTAAAACTTTCTTTCTAAATATTATCAATTCTCATTACTTTTCTGGAAATTTTAGGTAAAATTCGCAGTTTATAAACATTATTTAAAGAGTATCGGTTTGAGAATTACAATAGCAACAATATTATTAAATGCAACATTCCAAGGCTTCGCGATCGGCTCTAATTTATGGCTAAGTACGTGGTCGAGTGATAAAGAAGCTGCTAAGCCAGAAGTACGTGACATGTATTTGGGTGTATATGGTGCCTTTGGTGTGGGACAAGGTAAGTCACTTTAATTTAAAAATTTACCTTAAGCGACAAAATTTTTTGCTATAACAAATGTTTTTTTGTGTTCTTTTTTTATATTACGTAATTATAATAAAAAGATAAAATGCATGCAATTTATGTTGATTTGTGGTTTTATTAAATTTTATTTGCTACCAAAGAAGCTTCCTTGTATAACGTGAAGCCATTTCGGTATTTTATAATAAACAGTAATAGTAAAAATTGTTGATATTTTAGATTTTAATAATCACTAATTTATATTAAATAGATTAGATTGATAAGTATATTTTGTTGAACAATAGTATTATTTATTAAAACACATTTTGTTAGAAGTTACAATTGAAAAATTAAACACATTTTGTTGTTATATTATAAAAACATATTATGATACACTCATTGCAAACAATTTTCTTTTACTAAATTGCGTATGTAATATATAATATGTAATTTAGTAAAAGAAAAATTGTAAAATACCTAAAATACATAATGTACAATATAATACAATATTCCATAAAAGAAATTTACTAAACCCTGCATATCACCGCATTTTGAATATGCATTTTTTAATAGATAAATCAGTAAAGATTAGGAAACATGTACATATTATGAGCTAAAAATTTCTAAAAATATATTTTCGTTCAATATTAAACTATTTACGTATGCATTGTATTGTTTTAGAAAGTAAATGAGAATTAAACGGCTTTCTTATTATTTAAAAAAATATTTACTCCCACATTTTCAACTTTTTTTATATAAATATTTTTTTTTAAATTTAATACAAAAATTTAAAAATTACTACTATAACCAAATAAACTTTTACAGAAGCTTTTTATGTTATAATTCTTTTGGAGTTTGCATGTTCAATTTTGATTTTATTTTTCAATGTTTGATCATAGAAAAATAAAAAGAAAATAATAATTTTAAACTGCAAACTTTATACAGGCATGTCGATCTATCTAGGGGTTGCATTACAGTTTTTGGGTTGTTTAAAAAGTGCAATACAAATGCATGATACTCTTCTAAATAACATATTAAAACTTCCAATGCTCTATTTTGATACAACACCTAAAGGTCGGGTATTAAATATATTTTCAAAGGATGTGCATGTTGTTGATTATCAAATTGGATGGAGTATAAGAGCTGTACTTCGAACTAGTTTTATGGTAATCATTTGACTAATTGAAATAATATTAACCATTCATTTTTATTCATATACTATTATAATCATAATAATTAGAAGATAAATTAAATAACAAAATTCCATTATATAATTTATTTGGTTCTATCACTGAATTCTATTATAAAGTTTAGTTAGGTAAAAATAATTTAATTTTAATTTTGTAATATTATAAGTTTCCACAACCTAACAAAAGAAGCTATCATTAGAAATTTAATTTTTTAGATATTTATTTTTCTAATTTTCTTTCATTATTTACTAATAAATTTCAAGCAATGAGTGTTATCAAGATATTTTTATGGAAGTTCTCTAAAAATATTTTATTATTTCATTTTTACTGTTATGGAGAATTTTAATTTTTATTTTTTTTAAACATTTTATTTAATAAATTAACTATTTTTGAATCAGATTAAGTTAATTTGGTTTTTCGTTAAAATTGGTATAGTTCAGTGAATCTTTAAAATTATAGGTAAATTTAAAAACTTACATTTGATTTGGACTTACATTTAAATTCTTTATAAAAAATTAAATGTACTTAAGAGGGTGAAAAAATATTTTGTTTTAAATAAATTGAATAGTATTTTTATTTACTAAATAATATTATTTTTCTTTTAGTTAAAAAGAATTGTAAAAAGTTTTACTTAGGTTATTAAAAATATTGTTTTTTATTTTTATTATGTGTGCTTCATATATTTGTATTTAAAATATTATTTATTTTTATATGCATGTGGCTTTGTTTTAATATTTATGTGGCATGTGGCTTTGTTTTAAAATTAGTTAAAAAATTGCATTTGTATTAAAGTCTGCTTAATTCTCTTGTTTTGTTAATAATTGCATTGTAAATAAAATCAATTCACTGTGTTTTTTTTTTATTTTATTGAAAATTAACATTTACTAATTACATGTTTTCAAACATATTTACATTCTTACATTAACAAATCAAACACATTTTTAATTCTTCACACTTATACTTTTTTCTGTTTTATTTTAAAATTAAATAAAAACAAAATACAAAAATTAAATACATTCAAAATTTACTTTTTTTTTTCTTCTCTACTACTAAAAAATTTATGAAATTCAAAAACGATTTTTTTATATTCAAAAAAGTTTTGGCAAGTTTTATTAGCACATTATTATTGAGTCTTGGTTGCTTATATTGTGCAAGAGAAATGCATTCACTTCTAATGAAAAATACTGTAAGAATGCCAATGGAATTTTTCGATACAACTCCTGTTGGTAGAATTGTAAATCGTTTCTCTAAGGATGTGGATACAATTGATAATACAATACCAATGAATATAAGATCAATGCTGATGACAGCATTCTCGGTAAAATGATAAAATATAATAAAAATACTTTTTTCTTTTAATATTATAATACCTACATAAAAATTGTAATTGTTTTTAGATGATAGGTGCAAAAAATAGGAATATATATTAAAAAAGAAACTAAATAAAAAATGTGTATTAAGCCAGCATTCATAAATTAATAAATATTATTATCAATAATGAAGTAATAGCCTACGAAATTTGAAATATATTAATATTTTATTATTTAAATTCAACAATATAAACAAAATATTAATAGGCATGCAATGATTGAATTCGAATTGATTTTTTTTTTTTTTTGTAAAATGTTCGAAACTTAACTAAGTATAATTGCTATAAAAATATAAATTCATTAATTGTTAATATAATCTTGCATGTATATCGAACATTGTTATGTGATGTTTGCTCTAATTGAATTGTTAGTAGAAATCGCAGAAAATGTATTATTAATTCTGATAATTGTGTTGCTGATTTTAATTGTTTTTCTACAAAATTCATAGTAGTTTTTGTTTGCAAGGTAAATTAAAGCATGGCACAGTATAGTATTTGCAAGAGATTAATGGTCGATATCATTAATTATTACTGTATAGGATTTGTCGTTTGTTTTTTATATATATGTATATGAGCCAATTTTAAATTAAGAAAAAGAGGAAAATTCAATTTAATAGTGACTAATTTTTAGTTTGCTTTCGTGAGAAAACGTTTTTCATACTAAAAAGCTTTAACGCGTTGAAAAATTCAATAATTGCCATGGGTTTCCAATAGAAAAATCAATTCGTTCAACTACTTTAAGAATGATTAAAATTTTCGCGAATGATATCAAGTTCCTTCGACATTATTTACTTGATTCATCGAAATTGAAATTCTGATTTAATTTCAGTACTTAACGAATATATTAGCTAGTATTCTTATAAACTAAGTGAACTGCTTAATTTAATGGCTCCTTTTTGGTTATGATGACCTATTTTAGACATTTAAAAATTTAGTTTATCACATAAGATCTCCACTATCAGATTAATATTAGAAAATAATTATTTGTACATAATATTTTTTTATATATTGTTTGATATAATTAACTTAAAAATACGGTAATTGGACAGTATGTTTGTATTTAATTTTATGATTGTTGCTCTGTACTTTTTTTTCTTTTGTTGTAAAATGGAAAAGGATTAAAGTATGCCAATTCTGTATTTATGTGCAAGTTTAACATATTTACAAGGAAGGAAACAAAATCAAATAAATTCCATTTAACTATTAGTTTTTCAAAAAAAAAAAATTAAGGGAATTTAAAAATTTTTAAATTATATGAAATATTCCTTTCAGTGTTTTCTCACTTTTTATGTTCATTATTATTGGCTTTGGGTTGTTTACGTTGCTCCATTATTTTACACGAAGGTATTCTAAATAATGTTTTTAGAATGCCAATGGAATTTTTTGATACAACTCCGACAGGTCGTACAATAAATCGTTTTTCTAAAGATGTGGATACAATTGACAATGTATTGCCATTTGGAATAAGATTTATATTATCTCAAACATTTGCGGTAATCATAAAAATTTTTAATTTTTCTTTAAATCTTTTTCATGAAAATATTTAATATAAGCATGTACATACATTCATAGTTATTTTTTTATTACTATAGTTTCTATTTTTTTTTGATTTCAAAATCCATAAAATTAACAATATTTCAATCAGTTATAATGGTTGATTTCTATTATCTTATTTTCTACTCATTCTTTTCTAAATTAAATTTAAAATTGAATTTTAATATTATTTTAAATTATAAATAAGTTGATCTCAACATTAAAATTTCCATTAATTTATCATTTTTTTTTTATATATTTAAGAAGGTGAATTTGAAATAAAAAAAAAAATAATTTATTTTCAAGCTACTTTCATAAAATTATTTTTTTTAAACTTATAGAAATAATAATAATTTTAAAATGATTAAAGGTGTAATGGTCATTTATAATAGTTAAGGAAACAATATATTTTACATATTCAAATAAAAATTAGTTATAATATTTGTACTCGTAATATTCAATTTTAATTTTGCTTCTATTTATTTTGTTATATTTTTTTTTTTTGAAACAATTATTAGCGATTTTTATATTTTTCGCTGTGTTATCCTTGTACATTGGAGCATTTTATGCTGCACGAAAATTACATAATTCAATGTTAAGACGTGTTATGCGGGCACCGACAACAACATTTTTTGATATAACACCACTTGGAAGAATAATTAATCGTTTTAATAAAGATATTGATGAAATCGACAACGAATTACCAGCCACATTACATGCAATGTATTCATGTTTGTTTTCGGTTTGTAAAATGTGAAAACAATGAATTTTAAATTTTCTCTTACATTCAAACTAGCTTTGAAAATAATTTTCTTTTTCAATATTCTTGGAAAAAATACAAATTATTTCTAATTATTCAAATGGTTTTATTGGTAATTTCTAACTATTTTTTCTTTTTTATAATGGTGTTTCGGTTAAACGAAAACAATTCGAATTTTCATCATTAAAAAAATTCAAATATATTTTAAATGCATTTTTTTCTTCCTTTATTTTAATCGAATTTCATTTTTATTTAATTTTCATCTTTTTTCAAAATGCCCTTTTCATTTTCCACATCTTTTGGCTTTATTTACAATTATGCTTAAATACAAATTTTATTAAAATATATAAAAATATTAATTTGTTTATTTTAAAAAAAATTTTCATCTCTGCCATATTAAGATTGTCTTTTTAATATGAATTTTTTACTTCTTGTACATAAAATTCTATTATTTTATGTTAATTCTTACGCCGATTACAAATTGAAATTATATTATTATAAATAATATAAATTAAAAAATAATTAATTTTATTTGAAAAATCTTCATAACTCATGGATATTAAATTGTAATAGACGCAAAATTATTGCACATTTATTGATACATTTTAAGCATAAGAAATTAATTTTAAATTTATATTAAGTATTGAAAATAAATAAAGATCTAGGTTTTAATATATTTAATATATTAAATAATCGGTAATAAAATAGAAAATAATACTGTATTAAATACTCACACCCTAAATCATAAAATTTTAAGTACTCTTTTGAACAAAACTTGTTATTTTCGCCAACTTGGAAAAATAAGAATATTTTAGTATGGTCTTTGCTTCTAATTTGAAGAATATAGTTCTAGGTTTGTTTAATTAAAAATACAATAATTATTGCAGGCATTATGCAGGCATAACTTCCTTTATTTTAAAATCTATTCTTTATAAAATTGAATTGATAAGTTAAATTGAACATATAGGAATAATAAACACTCCATACACAAATTTCAATTTTGAACACTTACACAGTGGAATTGATAATTTTTTTTCATAAAAATTGTATTTCATTTTGGAAATGGTTTTTAAAAAATATTATAAAAACAATGAAATTTTTAATAAAGCTTAAGAAAATGGAAAAAAAAATAATTATTTCTTCGTTGGGATACAGGATTTTAAATAAGTGAGTCGAAAAACATTATTTTGCAATGAGTTTCATTCTGTCAACAAAAATCTCATACTATTTTTTATTCATATTTCAAACAAAAAAAAAAATATATTTAGACATATTTTTAATAATTTTTATTTTTCTTATTATATATTAAAATTTTAAATGATCAAAATAAATTCTGTAATAAATATTAAAATTAAATATGCTCTGGTATATTTAAATTTATACATATACGTTTGGGTAAATATTTACCGTATTATGTATGTATGTACTATGACATCAATGTTAAAAATTAAATACTAAAAGTTCTTACAATGTATAGTGGAACTTATTTAATTTCACTTGGTTGCGTACTAGCATCAAAATATTTATTTGAATTTATTTATGATCGTATCCTGCATGCACCATTACACTTTTTTGATACGAAACCAGTTGGAAGAATATTAGATCGTTTTGTTAACGATATTGAAAAATTAGACCTAATTATGCCAATGTGTTTTAAACAATTTATTAAATATTCATTTCAGGTATGTTTGTCTGTTTGTTTTTTTTTTATTTTTTTTTTGTTAATATTTTGTCCATTCGCTTTTAAAATAAAATATAAAATATTACAGAAATTAATGTATTAAAAAATTATTTTGAAATGACACATTAATCGTCTTCTTAAGAGCAATAAGGATGTTTCCTTAGTTTTCTCAAAAATAATTATTTTTTTTGTTAATATTAATTCATATATTCGGATATAATCTTATATCTGATTGGGGCTTATAATTACATGCAACATATTTGTTTAAGAACACAAATAATACTTCAAAATAACGGTAGTAGTATGTTATTGATACACAACATACTGCTGCATTATGAGCTGCAATTGTATAGCTGTAGAGTATTACTCGATTTTTGAAGTCACGGTTTCGATTAAATCGTAATGCAATATTCATTAATTTCTTATTGAATTGAATTTAAGCAAAAAAAATAAATTAACTGCAAAACGTAACAATAATTTTGTTAGTAAATAAATATTATTCGTAAGTGATCGATTCATCATTAATTTTTGTTTGCCTTTTTTTTGCCGAATTGAATTAACTTTGAGTTTAAATTTGAGTTCAAAAACCATTAGTTTGTAAGAGCGTTGTTTAAAGTTTCTACAATAAATTTAAGTGTTTTCAAGGTAAAATTTTTTGAAATTAGTGTTAATTTTCTTAAAAACTACCGTTTTGACACAATTAATATTCAAAAAGTCGAATGATTTTGCAGCAAGATTTTGTGACTAGTGTTTGGATTTATTTTTTAATCTTTTTTTTAATTTTTAATTATTTTATAAATTATAAAACAGTAAATTTACGATTATAAACTTACAAAATTTTTGTTATAGAAAAAAAAGAATAATCAAATTGTAATTTTTAAGTATTTGAAATTTTGAAATGAGGTGCCAGATGGGTACTTTTAAAAAATTATTAAACGAATCTTATTCTCGAATTTTATCTACTTAAGTAAATGTTTTAGATTTTTTAAGAAAATGAATAACTATTGAGATCACTCCCTATTTTGTACACTGGCAAATATTTTTAATGAAATACATAAAAATAAACATTTATTCTTTTTTTTCATTCAACAAAAATTAAATTAAATAGAAAATTTTACAAAATTTTTGACTAATTTTTAATATATTTAACATTATATTAAATAATTCAATTAAAATAATAATATTTACTATAGTTAAAATTGTTAAACTTTAAATACAGTAAAATATGTTTATAATTACAAAATTTTTCTTTTAATTTAATTACAATTAATTAAAAAATAATGTACGAAAAGTTTAAAGACGAGATTTCACTGTTCTTAATTATAGATAAAAAATAATTTAATAAATGTTTATTAATTTATATTTTTATAATATTTGTATATATACAACTGAAAATTTTAAAACATGTATAGCTCTAGTGGTATGGGTAACAGCTTTAGTACCAATGTATGGATTTATTCGTGCAGCATTATTGTTGCATCATAATTTATTAAAAAATACATTAAAATTGAAATTATCACATTTCGATATAACACCAACTGGTCGAATATTATCACGTTTTTCAAAAGATGTTGAAATTATTGATTCTTTAATACCAGAAGTTATAAAAACTTGCTTATATTGTTTATTTCAGGTAATTTTTTTTTTTACAGCAATTAGTTTACCATAGTTTGATTCATATAATTTGACCATAAAATTATTATTTTCACCGTAGATATTAATATTACATAAATGTACGTACATAATATATTAAATGTGTATACAATTGCATAAATTTTATGTTTTGCCATTATTTTAAAAACTAATTTTTTTTTACCATTACCACCTTTAAAATGAAATGCGACAACAAAATATTTTAACAAAATGAATGCTGATAAAATTTTGACATTTACGATCACATTGTGTGAAATTTTAAATGCATGTCAATTTTTGTTCTAGATTTTCTTACTTACAATGCACATTACGCAATATTTCAAATTAACATTTATTTTTTTGAATTGTATACGAGGAGTTGCTTCTGTTTTTTTTTTTTTTAAATTATAACATATTTTTGTATTAATTATTTAATAGAAATATTATGGTATGCTTATAAAAAAGTAATGTTTTGTGTTCCATTTAGGAGTATATAACTCTTTTAATAACATTCCTACATTTGTGTAGTTCAAAATGAGTTTACAAGGAACGCGAGAATCCATTTTAAAAATGTTCTTTGAAATTGTAATAAAAAAGATTCGTTATTAGTAGCATTTCGCTTAATAAATACTTCTACCTATACGGAATTCATTACCAAGTATAAATTTTAATGAATTAATTTGTAATGAAATGCCAGGTAGAACTTTTCTATTTATGCAGGTAAATATTGCCAATTACTTTCACACAATATAAAAGTAAGGATTGAACATTTTTTTTTTAATAAACTTCTTTATTGGAAAAAATACATTAATAATAATTTAATTTAATTTGGAATTGTAGGCGAATAACAAAAAAAAATACAAGATGCACCCACCTGAACATACCGAAAAACAATCAAAATTGTTTTTTTGTATAGAAAAAAGTATGATATTTACATAATATATTTAAATAATTATCATGAAAAAGTAAATTGAAAAGTATTTAGAAACAAAATGGTTGTGGTGTATTTAAAATTTTCTTCAAATAAATAATTTAAAGTGTGCACTTATGGTGGACTAATATTTAAAAAATGTTAATTTGTAGAAAAGATTAAAAAAGGGTTAGTAACACAAAAATTAATCTTTATCACAACAGAAGCTATATTATAGAAAGTACGAGTAAAATAAGGTTATAGGAAATGGTTTCTAAAACGTTATGGACGTAGTTTTATGTTTCGTATTTAATTGAGTTAACTTATAAAACTTAAAATATGGATGAGGAAATATAAAATATTTATTAAATTTACACGATCATAATATAAAGTTTTTTATAACTTGAATTTATATAAAATAAAAGATCATATATAAAGGTCTAAGTTAAGTTAAATTTCTACAAAATACAATGGAATTTAGTTTTAACTATTTTTTAATTTACAACTGTGAAATAAAATTAAATTCAAGTTAAAAATAATTTTATATTATATTTAAGAGTAATATATATTTATTTTACAATATGTGAAAGTTTTGTATTTTGTTTTTAAAATTTAATCAAAAAAAGTTGCTAATTTTTTATTTTGTACACAAAAGACAAAAATCAAATTTAATGTTTTATGCAAATGAATTTAAAACATAATTAGAAAAATTAAATTTAAATTTTTTCTAAAATGTAAATTCTTAATGAAAATTCATATATGTAAAGCAAGAAGTTCAAAAATTATATTATTTTTTTTAGCTAGAAAGATGTCTTCTCCTCATTTAGAAAGGGAGACTAAAAATATTCCTTGACTTTGACTTCAAAGTTTTTATACAAAATTCAGCTTATAGGTTTTGAAGTCATGGATTGTAAATAATTTATTAGTGTAAATGAATTTTTTTAAGATTTTATAAGAAATTTTTTTGTTTCTAATTATGTATTCCTGTTCATTGCATATAAAATTAAATTTTTATTTTTGTTAACCTTATTTTAAGTTTTTTTTTTTTTGTTTAATAATCACTTGTAATATTATTTGGACGGGTCGCTTCTAAAAGATGTTCGTATTCATATATTAATTATATCGTCCGATGTCTTCCTCTTTATAATGTACAAGTTATTTATTAAGATTTTAAATTATACAAGGAGTTTAATAATACTTTAATTTTAAAATTATGATTAAGTGCAATATAAATATTTCATTTCTTCCATTTCTTTTATTATAAAAAAATAGCAAGAAAATGCAAGTCTCTCTATTTTATTGTTTCTTTTTTGTTTTACTCTTCTATCGTGCACGTTTTAAATTTATGATTTTATTATTGGAATTTAATTTTATAAAAATTTTTATAAATAGCAATTACATCTTTTGGTGCTGATATTACACCAGCATACGGTTATATACATGCTGCCAAAATATTACATTTAATTTTATTAAATAATATTCTTAAATTACCAATGATATTTTATGATACAACACCAATTGGTAGAGTTTTATCACGTTTTTCAAAAGATCTTGAATCTCTTGATCGTACATTGCCAGATTTATTACTTGGATGTCTTTGGTGTATATGTGAGGTAAATTTCAAAAATTATTGTCTAAAATAAAACTGAAATTAAAATTTGAAAAATAATTAGAAATAAAAAATAATAAAAAATTATGGAAATATTTACCAATACCCCTTTCTGAAGTGACCCAAATATAGCTGATTTACGCATAAGTAGATTTATAATTTTGTAGATTTTTTAGTTTTTTATTCTTGTATTAATTATAATTTACTAAAATCAAAATAATATACTTAATTTGTATCAATATTATTTAAAAAACAAATTATAAAAAATATAATATAAAAAACAAAAAAAAATACCATATAAATTCATAGCAATTACGTCTTTTGGAGCGGATATTATTCCAGCACTTGGTTATATACATGCTGCCAGTATTTTACATGCCATAATTTTAAATAATATTGTTAGGCAACCAATGACATTTTTTGATACAACACCAGTTGGTAGAATTATATCACGTTTTTCAAAAGATGTTGAATCACTTGATTCTGTTTTACCAGAATTATTATCTGTTGGTATGTGGTGCTTACTTGAGGTAAATTTTTCTTTATTATTTTTTTCAATTCAAGTTATCCAATTAATATAGATTTTTTGCTTGTTTGCCTTGATTAATAATGAGAAATGGGTGTCAAAAATATTAACATAAAAGTAAATTCTTTAATTAAAAGATTATAATAAAAGTAAAAAAAATATTTTTTATACGTACTCACATATCTATATACACAGTTTTTATTGTACTTTTTCATGCTTGCACATGATTAAGCCAAATTTCTTTACAAAGCCAAAGATCTACGAATTATTACATTTTTGATTGAAAATAGTTTTGAATGAGGAAAAAATTTATGAGCATAAGAAATAAATAGACGTAAGAATTTAAAAAACTTTTTCTAAAAATCTGAAAAATTCGCAATTTGTATTTAAAATTTGAGATGTTTTGATTAGTGTGAGAGCGTATAAGTGTGTTCAGTTAACGAATCGTTTGTTTTCAAATCAACTTAATACTGAAGCACTTTGACTTTCGATTTTTATTTTCAATTCTTTTATGTAATCGATTGTTTGTAATTAATCTCCATAAAAAAAATTTATTTATTTCCAATTTATTTTTTTCTTATTTAATTTGAAAATAATATAAATATCAATTTTCGTATAATATTAAATTAAAATAATTTTATTTATTCAAAATTAAAAAAAAATCAGTAATTGTTTTTATTTTAATATCATAAATTTAATTAAATTATTTACTAGCAATATTTAATGAGAGGCATGATTATTTTTTTGTACTTAAATTTAAAAATTTTCACTTATATTTTTCATATATAGGTAGATTAACTTGTAATGTAATATTGTTAAAATATAATATATATATATATATAGGTAAAAAAAATTTTGTAACTTATAATTTTAGTTTAAAAATCGAAATTTTTACCTTTTTTTTTTAGATATTTTCAAAAAATTTTTGTTTGCTAACATTTGGAAACACTATTGAATTTCTTGTTGCAAAATCTTTTCAATATAAAATTCTCGGTATTTTATTTTGAATACTTAAAAACCCTTTAAAATATTTCATTATATTTTGCTACTTTCTTGAAATTTATTTGTGATTAATAGTATTGAATTTGTTAACATTTTTAATGGAATATAATCATTATTAATGTTTAATTAGTAGCGAATAATAAAAAATTGTTTTTAAAGAATGTGTTCATCAAAATATAATTAATATGAAATCATTTTTATGTGATCACACAAATTTTATAATTATCTATCTACATAATACTCGTATTCAAACAAATTTTTTTATGTTGATTTTTAAATTAATGTCTTAATATTCTTATAATGCATAATACATAAATAGGTCATATTTTAATATTTAAATTTTTTTTTTGTTTTTTTTATACTACATATATAGTTGAATATAAAACAAAAATACCAAATATTTTTGAATATAAAAAAAAATGCTGGTTAAGAACATTTTAAAAATAATTTTACATCGCAATCCCTTTTTTTAAAACCCTGCTCATTTTTTTTTTACATATATTAAAATAAAAACATATGTAGATTTGATTCAAACAATTTAAAAACAAAAATTTACATTTTATATTTTTTTTTCCCTTAAATAGATGATATCATTTCCTTTAATAGATTGTTAAAAATTTTTTGAATACGTGCATTTTGAATACCCCTATGTTATTATGATAGTTTGATTGTTAACTGTTCAATTAATGCTATTTCTCTCGACTGCCAATTTTTAGTTACATTTGTTGAATATAATAAATAGTTTGAAATTGTTGATCGAGCGTCGTTGCGGTTAAGTTGAACAAAAATTCAAACAGTAAAAAAAAAAATACTAAAAATATTTAAGATATTAAAATTGTAAATGATAAAGATATTATGATATCATCAATTTATATTGATATTTTACCAATCCAGAGTTAGGTGATAGAAACGTTAAATATTAAATTTATAAAATTTATAAAAATTGATTTCAATTATTAAAGTAAAAATTTGTTCTTTTCGAAATTTAATTGATTTTAATTAATGTTATTTGAAAATAAATTGAAATTGAAGTTTTTAAAATTTTTTATAAAGATTTATTAAAAAATATATTTTAGTTTTTATATGAAAAACAAAATATGGATAATTTTTTTAAGAAGACTGCAAATGGGAACAATATGATGATTGAAATATTTCTATACTATTTTTACTTCGAACTTGCCGAAGTAAAGAAGATTTCCTCAAAGAACACAAATTTAAAATAAAAAAATTATCCATTTTTAATAAGTAGAAAAAAATTAATTTAATTTTAAAAATTAATGAAATTTATACAAAACTACATTCATAAACAAAAAAAAAATATGAATTTTTTTTTTTAAGGAGTTGATTAAGAATGTTAAAAACAGTCTAATACTCTTACTCAATGATCAAAGCCTGAACAGTTAAATTTCAATTACTTCAAAACTACTTCTTTTCTCTCATCATTTTAAAAAGAAAAATAAATTACATTCAATTTCTTCCTTTTCTTTTTATTTAAAATATAATATTAATGTTTTTTTTTTTGTTTAATTTACATTTTTTTTTCTAAAATTTTTATATAATTTATACGGTGTAGGTTTTATCTACATTAGTAGTAATTAGCATTTCAACTCCGATATTCATTGCTGTGATTATTCCAATTGCTGCCTTATATTATTTTGCTCAACGTTTTTATGTTGCAACTTCACGTCAATTAATGCGTTTGGAATCAGTTTCTAGATCACCGATTTATTCGCATTTTGGTGAAACGATAACTGGCACACAAACAATTCGGGCATATAGCGTTCAACAAAGGTTTGTACGACCTGTTTTTTTTCCTTTTGTTTTTCTAACAATTCAAATTAATATTTTTAGATTTATTGATGAATCTGATGAACGTGTTGATAAGAATCAGGTTTGTAAATATCCAAGTGTAATTGCAAATCGATGGTTAGCGATTCGTTTGGAAATGGTTGGTAATTTAATTATATTGTTTGCTTCATTATTTGCTGTTTTGGGTGGACAAACAAATGCTGGGTTAGTTGGTTTAAGTGTAACATATTCACTACAAGTAACACAAACACTTAATTGGTTAGTACGTATGACATCAGATATCGAAACTAATATTGTTGCTGTTGAACGTATTAAAGAATATTCGGAAACAAAACAAGAAGCACCATGGAATTTACCAAGTGAAAATATATCTAAAGAATGGCCAGTTAAAGGAAAAGTTGATTTTGTTGATTTTGAAGTTCGATATCGTGAAGGTTTAGATTTAGTTTTGAAAGGAATTACGTTTACTGTTCAAGGTGGTGAAAAAGTTGGTATTGTTGGTAGAACAGGAGCTGGAAAATCTAGTTTGACTTTAGCCTTATTTAGGTTTGTATATATTTCTTATTTTTTTTTGATTATATTTTATTAAGAAACTATAAAATTTGAATGTTTGAATTTTTAGAATTATTGAATCAGCTGGTGGAAAAATTTTAATTGATGATGTTGATATTTCGACTTTGGGATTACATTCATTGCGTTCAAGATTAACAATAATACCACAAGATCCTGTCCTTTTTTCTGGGTCTTTACGTATTAATTTGGATCCATTTAATAAAAATTCTGACGACGAATTATGGAAAGCTTTAGAATTAGCACATTTAAAATCTTTTGTAAAGGGTTTATCTGCCGGTCTAATGCATGAAATATCCGAAGGTGGTGAAAATTTATCAATAGGTCAAAGACAGTTGGTTTGCTTAGCTCGCGCTGTTTTGAGAAAAACTAAAGTTTTGATATTAGATGAAGCCACTGCCGCTGTTGATCTAGAAACAGATGACTTAATTCAAGTAAGTTAAAATAACTAATTTTTTATTTTATTTGAAGTTTGTAATATAATTTTATCAATTTTATTTTTTTTTTATTTTTATAGAAAACTATTCGGTCTGAGTTCAAAGATTGTACTGTTTTAACTATTGCCCATCGTTTGAATACTATTTTAGATTCCGATAAGGTAATAGTATTAGATAAAGGAAAGGTTGTAGAATTTGCAAGTCCTGGAGAACTTTTACAAAATAAAAAAACAATTTTTTATGGAATGGCAAAAGATGCGAATTTGGTGTAATTATCACTATTTTACCAGTCACTGTTGTGTTAATAATTTGAGCATATATAAGTTTTTCATTAGGAGTTTTTAGTTTTTAAATTTTTTCATGAATTTTTTTTTCTCATTTCGAATTTAAAGCCAGTTTTTTTACAAAAAAAAAATTGTTTATTATCTCAATTAAATTATTTACCTTGTTTTGTTGTATTTTGAAATCGTTGTCATATTTTTCTATACTTCGAGTTTAGAAATTAGAATCTTTTTAATTTTCACTTATTTTAAATTAACTTGATTAAAGAATTTAAGTTTTCTGTTTAAAATAACGAAAGATTTTATCTATTTAAAATCACTTTTTGTTTTGATGAATTTTTTAATAGAACGCATTTAAAATTTTAGATATTTCACAATGTAGTTTTTTTTTTTGAATGCCAATAATACAATAAAATACAATTTTTTGACCATAATTTAAAAAAGTATGGCCGCGATTTCGGATTCAACTTTCTTTCTTTTTGTTCTTTTTCGTTAAACAATATTTTTTTTACTGTTCAATTTAATTTCGATGGCTTATAGGTAGACACTTTATTTATGAAGTTAAAATAATAATTGTTTTTCTTAGTCAATTTAGTTTATTTTGTTTTGTTTTTAAATCAGTATTTGTACTTAAGATTTTTTTTATCACAATTGCAAATTGTTCACATCTGAAAATGTTTACTTAAAATTCACAAAAAGATTATTTTAGATTTTAAGTTAATTTTATAGTACTTATATTAATCAAAATGTATTTAAATACTTACATTAATATTAATTATAAGCTTGAGTAATAGGTTAATAAGACTATTAATATGTTTGGCATAGTTATGCAAATAGTTTTTTATTACTGTACAGTTTTGATCCCTCTACATTATAGTATAAACCATAAAAAAAAATTATATATTATAAAATTAATATATTATGTATGAATAATAAAACCGTTTAGGACCACACAGTTTTTGTTACTTTCAATCGAAAATACATTGATAATAATATATCATAATATCATGAGATCAATAATATATTTCTTGAATAAATAATTATAAACTTTAAAGATTAATTTTGTTAATTGACTTTTCAATATTGTAGTTGCAATATACTCTGATTTACTCTTAGATTTAATTACAATGTTACTATTAAATAAAAGAAGTATTTGTATGAATATGCTAAACCTATGAATAGTTAATTAAAAAAAAAATGAATAGTTTTTAGTTAATGTAAATCTTTTATATATTATTAGCACTGTCATAGTTAAAACATTTTTGATTTTCCCCTGAATTAATTGTTGCCCAAGTTAAATAAAAAAGTTATGTGACCAAAAATTTTTATTTATTAAAAATTCTTAACTCTTTAATTGCGTAAATTATTAGCTATGAGATAAAAAATATAATTACTTATATATGTACATAAATGTATATTGAATGTTTCATTTTATTTCGAAGTTAAATTCATTTTTCTATAATAAAATACTTAATTTTGCGTTTTAATAATTTTTGTTAATTTATAAATTATTAAAATTAGTTAAAATATTCTTATAATAAATTAAGATTAGTAAAATTTAATTATATATGTATGTATATCTAAATTAATAAGTTTTAGATACGATCAATTTTTTTTGTACTAGTGTTAACATGATTTTAATATTTTCTAATTTTTAATTAACAAAAAAAATTTGAATAATTTTTATTTTAAAAAAAATATTCTTGTTTAATGTAATAAAACTATAGCCATTAGTTACTGCCCGACTTAGCCTTTTTTCTTAAAATTATATGTAATTATTTTGTTTATAGAACCTATCGCAGATAGTTTTTTTCATAATCAAAAATAAAACAAATATTTTGTTCATACTCTACTTTTTGTTATATTTTAGAGTACTTAAATTTAAAAATTTTGTTAATTATTTTTTATTGTAGAAATATTTGCAATATTATTACGAAGGTACCTAAAAAAGTTTTTACTATTTTTAATTTGAATTTTTGTATGCAATTTTCATAAACAGTTTATGTTTTTTATGATTTTCCAAATAGGAGGGAAACTATTAGTTCATTTAACAGAAGAGAAGAGTTACTTAATAAAACAGAAAATATAAATAGGTAATTAACTAAAAAACGAAATTTTTAAACAGTAAAAAATAGTTGTACAACAGTAAAAGCAAAGTTTTTGAAGATTAAAATATATAAACTAAAATTATATTTGAAATTCTAAGCAATAAATTTTAATGCAAATTAAAAGCGGGTGCAATAGATATTAAATAACAAATTGATTGATAATTAAAATTATGCAAATGTTACTTAACTATTTTAATACTACTTAAATAAAACGATAAATTTGTACCTCTTTTGTATGTTCAAAATATTTTTTAATAAAAAAGAATTATTTTTCTATGTATTTTTGTTTTTTTTAGTGTTACAGAAATTTTTAATTTCACTTTTTCATTCACTGTTTTCAATTTCAGTTCAACATGATTTTTTTTTTCAACATATGAACCTCCTATGAAGTTTGTTTTACGCCTAAGACGTCTACAGCAATGATGTATAAAAATTAAAGAGCTTCGGTTTGTTTTAAATGCTATTTTTTTATTTTACGATTAGTTTTTATTGCTACAAAAATATTTTAAATAATTCCACATTCGAGACACTTATAATGTTTTTATACTATATTACATTACTTAAATTTAAACAACTTAAATATGTATATACTTAATATACATATTTAATATGTTTAAATATGTATAATATTTAAAATTTTAGTTTTAAAAAATTTTAGTACATATTAATTTAATATATACTAAATTTATAAAAAAAACAATTAAAGGAAATCATATTGAAACTCTTATTATGAGCGCATACTATAATGAACTGGCTGTTATGTCTAATGAGGCATTTAAACAAGTCACTTCATTTTGAATTCCATCATTTGATTTTGTTGGTTCAATTTCTGTTTCTTCTATATAATGTTCTTGGATGTTTTGTACTTGTTCTTCTATATTTGGTGTGCTAAAATCTGGTGGAATATTTTTTATACAAATCGCATCAGTACAGTCTGAAACTTTATAAATTCCAACTGTGTAATTTGATAATTCGAACATGTTAGATCTCAATGATATTATAATAAATTGAGCATTTTTTGTTCTTTCTTTAATATAATGGGCAACAATTGAAATATTTTTGAAGTCTAATGCAGCATCGATTTCATCCATAAAATATAAAGGTGATGGCTTATAATAATGTAATGCAAATACTAAAGCTAAAGAGGATAAAGTTTTTTCCCCACCAGATAAATTTGAAATATTTTTCCATGTCTTTTTTGGAGGTCGCACACTAAATGACACACCTTCAGTAAATGGATCCATTGAATCAACAAGTTCTAGCTCAGCATCACCTCCTTGTGTTATCATTTGGTACATCTCTTTTAATTTACGCGTAATAATGTGAAAACCTTTCATAAACTCTGTATATCGTCTTTTTCTAACTTCATCATATAGTTGCCTCATTTCATTTCTTTTATTTGTTATATCTTCCAAAATTTGAACACGCTGTAAATATATGTCTTTCTTATTTGTATATTCTTGAATTACTCCAAGATTTGGTTTTTTTTGATTAAGTTTTTCTTCTTGTATAGAATATTGGTACTGAAGCTCTTGCAATTTATAAGTATCTAGTTCTTCTTCAGTATATGTCTTTAATGGCTCCGGAGGCTCAGTTTCCCCAGGTATTTGATGAAGTTTCAAGGGCTTTAATTTATTTCTCCAATGTGGCATTTGACTTTTTAGGTCCGATATTTTCTTCTCAAGTACTTGCATTTTTTGGTCGATTTCAACTCTTTTTAAATTACCCTCTGTTTCTTGTTTTTGAAATTCAACTATTTCTTTTTTAAGGTGTGATGAATCTTTATTAGCATTTTCAATTTGTTCTTTGGCTTCTTCAATTTTCTTAGTCCACTCAACTCCTTCATTATCATATTCCGTTCTTTTTTCGTTTAGTCTCTTAATTTCATTTTCAGCATTTGTAATATCTTGCTTCAAGTCTTCGATTTCTTTTTCCGTCTTTTTGTAATTACGTTCGGATGTTGTTATGTCCACTTTTAATTTTGAAATATTTGCGTTAAGACTTTTAATTTGCTTTGCAAGACTGTCGATTTTCTTCTGTAATACTTTGATTTTTTCGTTATGAATTTCACCTATTTTGTCATTAAGGTCTTGAATTTTATTTTCAATTTTTTTTGCAGTATTATCAACTTTTTCAAAATGGGTCCGCTTTGTATCAATTTCTGCTTCCAATTTATCTACCTTATTTTTGTCTGAAATAGTTTTCTCCATTCTAATTTTTTGACTTTTTAATTGAGCTTCAATACGAGGTAATTGCTCTGACAAACTTTCAATAGTAACCGACATCTTTCTTATTTCAACTTCTTTTTTTTGTAAAGAAATTTTTAAATTATTGATATCTTTTTCAAGATGCCCTTGTTGCTCTTGACAATAATTGATTTTTGATTGCATATTTTCCGCACTTGTTTGCATGTCCTCTAGTGCTTTTTGAGATATTAGGGATGATCTTGGATTTTCTTTTGTTTTGGTAGTTACCTTTTGCCCCATTTTACCACGAATTTGTGTTCTACCCCCACCAGACATTGTTCCTGAGGTTTCAATCACGTCTCCTTTCAGTGTTACAACACGAAATCTAAAAAAAAAGATAAATATTAAAGATTATATAAAACTTCCTAAATAGAAATCTACCTTTGAGGCCCGTAAGCAATTTTGGTACCTTGGTCCAAGTTATCTGCCACAAGAGTGTTTCTTAAAGCAAAATAAAAGGCTGGCACAACACGGTTATCTTCAACTCGCACCAAATCAAATAATCTTGGTACATTTTCCGGAGTATTTATTTTGGTTTCACAATACCTTTGTAAATGCTGCACTTTTTCCAAAGCAATAAATGAAGCTCTCCCTATGTCATACTTTTTCAGGTGCTCTATACAGGTTTGAGCAGTATTTACCGTATCTACGACTATATTATCTAGTCTCCCACAAGCTGTAGAAATAGCGACATCATATTTGGCATCTATGCCTCCCAAATCACCTAAACGACCAAGAATTCCTGGAATCTTACCCTCAACTTTTTGACGCATTAAAGAATCGAGTACCTTGTTGTTAGATTTTGCTATTTGCATACTATTTTTTTTTTCAGTTATTTCAGACATAACATTTCTTAAGTCCAATCTTGTTTTTTCTTCTTCATCTCTTAATTTTTCCACCTCGACTGTTTTATTTTCGATTTCCTTGCGAATTGTTGGTATAAGGTTTTGATATTCTTTAACTTTCTCAGTTTTCTCATCTAACGCAATTTTAGATTCTTCAAATGAACTTTTCATTGATTCATATTTTCGTTTTTCAGTTGTTTCATCATGTTTTAAAATTTTTAATTCCTGCTCCAAAACAGTTAAGGCTGCTTTAGCTTCGTTAACATTTTTTTGTAAATCTATTAGTTCCCCTTCAAGTGATTCACGTTTTTCTATTAATGGTTGAGTTTGGTCCTTAATTTCTGCGTAATTCTTTTGAAGTTCCGTCTCTAAAGTATTCTTTTGACTGCTTAGTTTATCAATTCTAGTTTTGCATTCTTCAATTTCTTTTTCGTTTTTTTCAGGTAGTTTCTGTAATTCAATCAATTTCTCTTCATTTTTCTGCAATTGCTGTTTATTTTGCTTTCTTCTTTTATTTGTTGCAGCCATTGTTGTTTGTACTTCGGTAAAGTTATTTAGTGCTTTTTTTAATTTAGTTTCCATTTCTTCTTTTAATTTACACATCTTTTCGAAATTTGCAATTTCTTCCTTAATTTGACTTTCTTTTTCCAATCTTTGTCTCTTTATTTCTTCATATTTCTCATCATGTTGCTTCAATTCTTCCCCGACTTTTTCTTTTTCAACATTCACTTCCAGTAATTTCTTATTCTGCTCTGACAAGTATTTTTGTATTTGCAAATTTTGTGTCCTTGTCAGTGTATTTTCTAGTTTAAGATATTCAACAGCTTCGTTATAAGGCTGTTCTAAATCTTTCATATCTCTTTCAGCGAGCTTACATCTATTATGTTTTTCAGTGCGCTCTTCAGTAAGGAGTTCCACTTTCGTATTAATTTGAATTAACGGTTTTTTATATCGTGTTGTACCAACAATATCTTCTAAATACTCCAACATCCCACACTCATTTTCTGAATGAGCTTTTGATTTCATCATAGCGATTGATTCAACTTCTCCTTGTAAAATTAAGAATCTATTATGGTCTAAGTCCACGCCGTGTTGCTTTAACAAAGTGGCAACTTCTTTAAATTGAACACGTCTTTTATTAATTGTGTAAAATGATGAATTATCTTTGAATGCGGTTCGGGATATTACGATATTAGAGTTTTCTACAGGTAAACATTCGCCTCCTTCTTTATCGATTATTTGTTGAAAATGAACCGAAACGGTACAACTTTGAGTATTGGGAAACCGAGCTGAATTATGTAGTAAAACTGATAGCTTTTTACTTCGTATTTTTTGAGCTCTATATCCGAACACAAATAACATGGAATCAATTACGTTACTTTTCCCGCTTCCGTTAGGTCCTATTATAGCTGTAAAACAATGGTGAAAAGGCCCCAGTGTTACTTTACCAGCGTAGCTTTTGAAATTTTCGTTTTCTATTTGCGTTATGATTAATCTGGGTCCTTTGCTTTCTGTTGAACAATGTGGCTGCGCTGGTGGTGGTATATAAATATCCCCAATTCTTGTCCCGCCTTCTTCATCGTCAGAAATGTTCATATCTTCAGCACTTTTATCTAATTCTTTTTCTTCATTTTGGCTTTGTTGGACGAGCATTGATTTACGTTTACTCGCCATAATTTTAGTACATTAAGTTGTTTTTTTTTTTAAAATAAGAACAATTGTTTACGTTTATCAATAAGCTTGCTTCAAAACAAGCGTCTTATTTTAATTTTATACGGCGAGAAATGTCAAATTCAAATTTTCATTGTGACGGTTTTATTGAAACTTTGTTTTGACTTTTCGTAAAAGTTGAATACTTATAATTTCTTAAAGGGCAGTGCAAACATTTAACCACTTATTCCATATTTTGCTCCATTTTTCCCTTACAGTAGAGAAAAGCTTAGTTTTTTAATTATTTTCCCTTTTAGTGAAAAATCCACTAATAATATTCAATATATAAATTAATAAAAAGGAATTTTACCTTCTCTATGATATTATAAAGATGCAATTAAAAGCACAACAATGATATGCAAATTTACAAAAAAAGAAAATATGAAAAAATTGATTTTAAAGTTGTGTGTATAGAGTCCATTAACAACTGAAAAAGTATTTTTGTTTAAAAAATATTGTAATTGCATACTAAAGTTTGACTTAATCAAAAGTTCTATTTCATTCATAAATAAATTTTTTAATATCCAACTTTATTAGAAAATATGTATAATTTTTATAAGATAACGTAATGTTCATGAATATTATTTAATATACCTTCTACAGTGCTTTTTATAAAAACCCTTATGATTCTATATTACAACATTGTATTTATTTCCACAAAAAATTACTTCTTATTGTATGAATACTAAATTTTTCAGTAGATAAATTTTTTTGTTTTGACGGTAAGTACATTAGATGAATAAAAAAATTTAAGCTCAGCTGTTTTTCAATTTTGAACGGAAAATATTTTTTGTTGAATTTTGTTTTTATATTGGCCTGTTTAGCCATCGAAATTAAAATTTTAAAGTTAAATAACTTTTCGGCGTGGATCTGAAAAAAATACAGTATTCAAAATCAGTGAAACAAATCCATACGTCTTCTTCTTCCCTTTACTTTTTTTTCATTATTTTTTATTTGTAACAATAAAACGAATGGATAAAAAACGATTTTATTTGATAAAAATTTGATGTGTAAACGTCAATAAAATGAAGCCAAATCGAACTATAAAAATAAAGTCTTGGCCGTTTTATCCAATTTTTGAAAGAAATGAAAAAAGAAAATTGCGATAAATTTTTCTCGTGGTGTTCGTGATCAACTGTTTATGGTGGTCCGCAAAGTTTAGTATTTTAAAATTTATTTTTTAAAGTTAGTTAAATTATTTTCTATAACGTTGAAAATAACGTTGAAAATTTATGCCAAAAATATTTCAAAACAATATTAGTTGGCGACAATTTAATTCAATTTATTATTACATTCAGAAAAAGGAATACTTATGGGAACATTAAATCTAAAGATTAAAGCATATGAGCAGTTGGGAAAAGAGTAGTTTGTTTTAACAGTAAAAAATAAAAAATTTTAAATGTCTTCGATAATTTTTAGGATTTAAATTATTTATTTTTCGCTTATTTTTCCTTTGTCAATAAATCACTCATACTTTTACATGTACATAGATATACCTCGATATGAATTAAAAAAATTATTTTGACAATTAATTAAGCACAAATGTTTGATCAAATAAAAGTTTGAAGGGTGACAGAATTTCTCATCCAATTTTATAGTTGTTAAACTTAATCGTCACACTTTGTTGTCTAAATTTACGTAACATGTCAAATATTTACTGGTTTATAAACAGGAGCGGCAATTCTGTTCATATTAAATTTGTTAAATGATTACAATTTTGACACAAACAAAAAATAATCAAGTCGGCATTTACCAGCACAGAATTTTAGTTTATATTAAAAAAAAAAAATAGGGATACTTTAAAAAAAAAATATTAAATGGGGTCTAAGAAGCATAAGAAAAGTAATAAATCTGAAAGACGAGAACGATATGAAGGTACTGTTTATTTTCTAAAACCTAAAATATTTTCAAACATAATTTTTCAGAATTTAGTTCAGATCACCGTCCCAGTAGTTTAAAATTAATTCTCAAAGTTGGAAATAACTCTACACCTGAATATGGGGATGATTCTCCAGCATATAATATGCAAGTAGAGAGTAATGTACCTGGGAATGAATTGAATGCTAGTACATCTTGCACTCAACGCAATATTTTTGGATCTGAAGATTGTCCGGAAAAACATAAAAAGTCAAAAAAAAAGAAAAAGAAAAAAGATCGTGAAAAGCGTCATAAACATCACAAAGAGAAAAGACATAGACGTAGAAGTAGTCACCGTGAACCAGAAAATAACGTGATTGAGGACGTCCCAATGGTTACTGACGCAGGTAATAGCAGCACATTCGGATTAGGTGATGAATCTAGTCGGGGAGAAGAAGATTTGGATTTTAATGAAGAAGATAGTAGTTGTACGCAACAGTTACAAGAAAATATACTGAGGTATTCAGGAATCTCAGCAGAAAATAGCCCTGCTAATCAGCCTATTACAAAGGCGATAATTCCACATCCTATTGAAATCGAAAAATCTCCATCTGTTAGTCCTGTAAAAGATTATGCAACTCCTGCAATACCTTTAGGAAGCCCCGGTTCGGTTTCTACGACAGTTTCTACGCCAGGAAGTATGACACCAGCACAATTATCGAACTTTACGGGACCCTCAACACCTAAATTATTAGATAATCCGAAAACTCCAAGTTCATGTTCTGATTCTGGAAGAGAACTACGTACATGTGTAATGAAACTCAAACAAATAAAAACTCCGCTAACAAAACTTTTAGATCATTTACTACGAGTGATAGAAAAACGAGATCCACATCAATTTTTCGCATGGCCAGTGACTGATGATATTGCTCCAGGTTACTCCTCTATAATAGATCAGCCAATGGATTTTTTAACAATGCGGCAAAAAATAGAAAATAACGAATATTCTACACTCTTAGAGTTTACTGAAGATTTTCGATTAATGTGCGAAAATGCCATTAGGTACAATCATGTAGAAACAGTTTATCATAAAGCTGCTAAAAAACTTTTGCATGTTGGGCTGAAAATTTTGCATCCTGAAAGCTTAATGAGAAGTTTGAAACCGGCTTCAGGTTACATGAGAGAGTTAACTGCTAAAGAACTTGGTTTTGAGTTCCGATATGGTGAGGACAACACATTAGTTATTGATTCAGCTGATGAATGTGCTTCAACGGGAGCTGACGAAAACTCTCAAGTTCAAACTGAAGAGGACGAAAAGCGAAAATTAATAAGATTGGAAAATGAACCTAAATCTAAATTTGAAGCATATGTTGATGATTTAACATCTGAAGAAATATTAGCTCAAGTACAAAGTGCCGCTCAATTTGCAAAAAATAAGCTTTCTAATAGACAAAAAGCTAATCAAATGGGCTTTTTGAGACAAAATAAGGATGGTACAACTTCGCTGAAAATCTTGCTAGGAAATGACATAGAAGGTTCCGAAAGGATTATAAAATTGGGAGAAATCGTTGGAAGACTTAAAGAAGGTACTGGAAGTTTACAGTGTTTTCGAGAAGATCGTCGAAATCAAGCAAAACTGGTAAAACCATTGGCATACGGTGCTTTTGGATCTTTTGCTCCCATATTCGATTCTAGATTCTCAAATTTAAGTAAAGAGGAAACAGAATTAGTCTTGTCCACGTATGGTAATTGCGTTAGATACTTATTTAAAATTTAATTGGATTAATGAAGTATATATTTTAGGTGATGCTACCTCTGCTGAATACGCAGAAAGCATATCTGAATTTACAAAAGATAGTTGTTATGCGAGCATTTTAGCAAATAGTCTTCTTGATTACTTGACTCAAGGTGAGCACAGTAAGACTATTGCGCATTTGTATGAAAATCAATACCAGCGTTTTGAAAATAATGAAATTGAAAAAACTTTTCCGGATTCAATTTCCAAAGATGAAGAAGAGTATGAAAAATATAAAAATGTTAAAATTGAGTTTGATAAGTTAAAAGGACTAAATGATCTCGGAATTGATATGTCTTTCCTTGATGGTTTGAAAGAAGAATTGCTTGAATTGGAAATACAAAACTCTGTAAATGATCAAATAACAGCTAATATTAAACTGATTGAAAAGCTGCATAATACTCAGCATGATCGCTTATCTCAGCCATTACCACAGCATTTATCTAATATTCAACATCCAAGTAACGAAGAAAACCAGTTGGCGCAACAAATTACACAAAATTTTGTTGACATTGCAAAAAAGTTACCTCCCTCCGCCATTACTGAGCCACATGCATTAAGGAAAGCTATGGGAATGTCAAATGGTAATTATAGACATTAATATATGCATATATTAATATGAATATTAAATATAAATTTGTAGTTGGACTTCCACCAATATCTCAGCCAACTTTGAATATTCCTCCTTTGCTACAAGATCGTGCTCAAACGCAACCTCAACAAGCACAGGCCGTACTTACTGCTTGCCCAAATGAATCATCTCAGATAGCGATGGAAATAGATGATGTAGTACAAGCAACCAATTCAGATAATCATAATAGCGCTGTTGATTTAGAAAGCGAATTGCGGGAATTTTTAGAGCAAGGTGGAAGTAATTTAACCGCACACAACATTGACAATAGCATCGAACAAATGTTATTGAATTAGGGTTAGCTCTTAAAAAAATTTTATTTTAAGTATTTTAAATCATTTTTTCGATTAAATTTGAAACAAAAAAAAGAAAAATAAAAATACATACATATTTATTTTTAATACTGGCTTAACCAAATATTTTAGGACCGGTTGTTACTTATTAATTATAGTTAGGAAAAAATATTAATCATTATTATTCGAATGAGCGGTGTAAATTTTTGTAATTAATGTCTTTGGGGAAATCATAATTTGGTTGATATAATTGTTCTGTCATAAGAGGCCTGTGCATCGAATGAGGATGATGGTAAGTGTTCACAATACTATTGAGATCATTTGTTTGCATTTCTGGAAAACCTGTTGAATATGATGGTAATATGGTTGAGGAACTATTTAAAATATCATTATTGTTTATGTATTGAATATGCTTGTATGGCGAAATAATGGATGGCTCATGAGTAGTAATCTCGTTTGGTAAATAATCTGGAAGATTGATTTTAAAATTCTCTTTTTGATAATCAGGAACTCCTATGTCATGATGACCTTCCGATTGTGATTTTTCAATGTCGATATTGTTTTCTTCGATTTCTGCTGAAATTCCCTGTGTCTCCAAGTTACCAGTTTCACTAAAAATTGTTCAATAAATTTAATAAGTTAACAAAAATGTCATGTTATGCAATTACCTATTGTCATGAAGTTTCTCATGACGGGTTAGAGCTTGTGATTGATTGAATTTGGCGTTACATATTTTGCATTTAAAAGGTTTTAAACCACTATGTATCCTCTGATGCACAATTAAATTTGAACTAGATGCAAATCGCTTGTTGCATTCCGCACAACTATATTTCTTCTTATTTTCGTGCACAGAACTTATATGTGATTTTAGATAAGATTTATTAAGAAAACCTTTGTTACATATGTTACAAAAAAAATTTTTCGTATCTTTATGAGTTTGCGAATGACGTTTTAGTTCTATTTCAGCTTTGAAGCTTTTTTGGCAAGTAGCGCATTTAAAGTTTCGATGATTAGAATGTGACCGAATATGACTTTTTAAATTGCTTGACGTACTGAATAATCGGGAACATATTTCGCATTGGAATCGGCGATCATTTATGTGAATACGTCGATGTAAATTGAAATTCCTAAAATAAAAATATTTTATTATATATATCTATATGTTCATAATACATAAAATGCTGAGTTGGTTTAAAATTGTAGATTATTACCCAATTTGCCGAAAAGATTTATTGCAGACTTCACAAGTATATGGTTTTATGTCTTTGTGAATTCTCATATGGATATCCAACAAAATATTTGATTTAAATATCTTAAGGCATTCGGAACATTTATAAGGCTTTGGCGTGTCTTTAAAATCAGATTTCCTTAATTTGCCTTTTGAAGATCCTTTTGCTGAACTTGGATCGTTGAAATTTTCATTTTCCTGATTTTTAGTTGGAGATTCAAAATAAATTTGGTCTTTCATATCATTAATTTTAAAAACAAGGGATTCGCCAACAACATCAACAAACGATTCATCAACTTCATTAAGAACATCATCAGCTACTTCTATGTCTTCAGAGTTATTTGTTTCAAAAATATCACAATTAAGTGTGTTAAATATTGGAGGTGAAATCGAAGAAGTAGAAGTAATTGTTATTTGATTACCAGCTTGATAGTTTATTTTGGGAAAGTTGCTATAATTCGAAATAAAAACTGAACTTAAAATAAAAGCAAAACAATTTGTACAAATAAGTGCCTACTTTTCTTCTTCAAAACGCGTATCAGGAAATTCCGGAAAGGAAATATAATTTTTGGTGCCCATATATGAGAATTGAGCTGAATTTTGCGCACTTAAACCCAAATATTCTTTCAAATGGGTTTCAGTTGCTTCACATTGTTGTTTCAGAGTAAAAGCATCCATTAATCGATAGACACATGACTGACATATAGAGGAAGGCATATTATCGTCAATTTCAAACTGGAAAGTGCAATTCGAATTTTAATAATTTATTGAATACTGTTAAAATTGAACAACATTTATATTTGAAATAATTAACAATTTTTCCTAATTTAATTAATAAAGTAAAAAACATCATTACCTTAAAAAGATCTAGCTTCATAATCATGTCGATGGGACGCAAGAATTGACTATATGGAATGCCACTGTATAAGGAAATTAGCATTTCACTTTGTAGACAAACTCTGCAAATTTGTTTAAGGTCTATCAACTGAAGAGTCTCCATATTTCTTTCAATAATAACATTTTATTTTAAAATTAAAAACATATGAATAAAGCATAAATGTTTACTATTTATGTTTAAGTCTTTTGGTTTGAATTTGTAAATAGACAGTAAATGTCAGCTGTCAAGTATGTTTAGATTTTTCCGCGACATCTACTAGAATAGAAGGGTTCATATTTTTAATGGCATGTATTTTTGAGCATTAACCGCTTAGTTCCTAAATTCTTAAAAACCGTATTGGAACTTTTTATATGCACCAATAGGATTAGACATGGTTTTCAACGTTTATAGAATAGAAATAAAGATCTACATACAGTTCTACAAATTTTATTATTTATGCAAAAATAACTATGTATATATTCAACGCGTTTGACAATTGAACGACATCTCTCATCAAACACAAATCGAAAAAACTTCAAATTAAAAAAACGATATAACAACAAATAAACGGTAACATTTTGATTAACTAGTTTTTTTCAAAGATGCCTGTGATGTAGATTGTAGATCACAATGCCTGCTTATTAAATGGGTAAAATTCCAATTTAACATAACTTTTTATATGTATGTATGTTGGTGATATGTATTGTAGAAATTAAATATGTAAAATGTACATTGGGTAAGGATGTGTGTGTGTAATGTTTGTAATACAGTGTATGTGTGTAATACATAAGTATAACATTTTATTCCTTAAAATTGTAACATGATATTTTCTTAAACTACTGTACAGAAATTTATATTTGCTAATTTTAAAAATACTGATGCTTGAAGAATACAATTAAAGTATCCGAGTTAGGTCAATTATACCTGAACAATTGCTTGCCCTACGCCTATACATTGCGGTCGATTTATCCAAGGTAATTCAATAATTAATTTAAAAAAATCTGCTGCAGTAAATGAGCATTGGTTTTGTTTGTTTTGAAACGCAAAAAATTGTGAACTGGAACCTGTCGGGTTATCAAATGAAATTTGTCTCTTAATGCGAAAGTTAGTTCTGCTTAGATTTTCTAATTTATCTGTTTCGTGGGAAGATGTATTTTTCGAATTCAAATTATTATTATCTGAGGAGTGGATAAGAAGGTCTCTTCTTAATATTTGTGGTTGACCATCGTTGACAATATTTTTTCGGAAACGGTTTGAACATTCTTCTTGCAAAATATCCAAAATAAAACCATTCTTCTGGCTATTGTTGGCTTTACCAAATAACTTTAATCGAATAATTTTATCCTCTAATCCCCATTCTGATATATATTCAATTCCGGTTTTGCAGCCACATATTCTTTGACCATCAATTTCAATAAAATCATCCAAACAAATTTCTGGAGCTATATTATTTAATTGTCTATAATAATTATATGTTGCAGTGTTACCCAGAACGAAAAACTTAAGGTTTATTCTCAAACGGCAAATATTTTGAGAATTTTTTCTTATATAATAAAGGCAGTCTGTGAAATAATTTGAACTATAGGGAAATCCAGGGGATGATAGATAAAATCGTTGCTGTGTAAATATATTTGCGCAACATGGGGGCAGTGTTCCAGATGGTATAATTCCCAATATTTGTGACTGTGACCGAATTGTACCAATTTGGTTTTGTATTGTTTTAAGAGGAAGTTCATTTGCATTTTCTGGATAACGATTAGAATTAACAATCAAAGGAATATTATTTCTTTGATTTTGTGTTTGGTAATTTGAGTTAATCGGTGGATACCAAGGAATTGTTGTCATTTGAAAGAAATTCGGTGTTTTGGAATTATAACTTCCCAGTGTTACAATAGGTAAAGTTGGTGAATGACAGCAAACAACAGGATTTTGTGTTAAAATCGAATTTGGAATTTCATTTAAAGCCGGAAATTGTGGTTTAGTTTCATAAATTTGATTAGGATAGGAATGGCACCTTGGATAATTTGGTAAATTTATTTTAGCGTCGTCTGTGCCTGATATAACAGTTGAAATAGGTTTGTCTATAGCAATACTATTATCAATTTGTGGTTGAGGATAATTTGCTGGTGGTGGTAAATATTCATTTCTATTGTTTTTGGGTGGTACCAGCGGATTGTTATTTGGAAACGGTGCAACATGATTAGAATAAAGTGAGGAAACTGGATTTATATGTGGATTTGAATAATCGATATTGTTATTATTATAATTTGAAATTGATTCTGGTACATTTTTTTGATTAATATATTTTTGAGCTTTTTCTTCTTGAAATTTAAAATTATAATTGTTATCTGAAGTTGATAAAATATTATTAGATCCTTCTACATTGCTTTTCGTTTTTTCAGGTGGTAACAAATGATTTGCAATACCTTTTACATTTAACGATTTACCATTTCTATTATCATTTAAAATTTGAAAATTATTTTGTCTAAGCTTACGAATTGTATAATCTTCATTACAAGGCTGACGAGTTACTAATAATTTAAATCCTTTACCTTCAATTGTTCCATCAGATTGAAAATTAATTACCAAAACGCCATCTTCAGTTTTATAATTTTTTATACCAACAATTTGACCGCATATTCTTGGCTCAATACCGATTTCTAAATAATCTTTTGTACAATTTTCAGAATATTCTATTTCGAAATCTAAAAATTGTATGTGAAATTCATTTGGACATCGATATGGTGAAAAAATTATGTATTCACAATTTAATCCCGGTTCATAATTTTTTATTCCGAAATTTGGTGTCAAAAGTAAAGTTGAAAAATTTCGATATAAGCCACCACATTCATTAGTATCCTCATCAAATGGATGTTGATTATTTTCGCTTTCAAAAACTTCAGGTGAAAAAATTGAATCAAATATTGGTAAATCTTTTTTATTACGTTTTTGTAGAAAACCATTTTCTAAAGCATGTTCCCCAGCTAATGTTAAGCTAACTCCAGTGTTCTCATTTCTTTCGAATGGTATAAAATGGATATTTTCGTAACAATTAACACTGAAAGGACCTAATATTAAAAAAACCAATAATATCAGGGAATAAGTAAAAGTATTATAAGAAGACACCATTGTAATCTTTATGTTAATTAAATGTTTATATATTTTTTATTATAAAAACGAAAAATGTTCTAATTAAGGATTTTTAATTGATTTTGTAATTAAACTTTGCACAATTTATGTATTTTCTCTTTACATCTCTTTAATGTAATTCATTGTATTTTTTTTAACTTTTTATTGATAACCCGAATGATGGTAGAAAATGTATATCATGAAACAACGTTTAAGGTGGACTAAACTCTTGCAGTTGTCGTATATAACATTTAAAGGTTTAAACAAGAGTCAACATTGTCTTATCTTGTGTACTTTTTTATTTAACTTTAGTTATGCTTGGATATTCTTTAAAATTTCTTAACATATTGTATATATTTACTTATACACGTATATACATATACATATACGTATGGTATAAATTTTCACAGTTTTGCCTTTTTTTTTTAATGTGGTCAGGTGCGGCAAATTAAATTTGAATATTCATTCAAAAACGCATAGCCCATTTTGTATTTTTTATTGTACGTTTTTATGTTTCTGTGCTTATATGTAGCCACATTATGTATGTATGTGTATTGGCGGGATAAACTTTGTGTTTGAGATGTATCACACCAAATAACGCATAAAAGTTTTTATGAATTAACAAAAAATAAATATTTTGGAATTCAATCATTTTGTAAAAATAAAAGTGTTTAAACAGAAAATCCAAGTGGAAAATTATGCGAATAGACATGACTTTTAAATTCAGTTTATAATATCGTTTGTTATTTATTTGAATAATTTTTGCTTTTTATGTGGTAGTACAATACTACACCATATTTGAATTTCGTAGCGCAATGATGTGCTTGCTATATTTATGCTTACTTCTAAATAATGTACAAAATTATGTTTGAATTTTTTACTACATATATGAGGAAACTAATTAATGGATCGTCGAAGTTTGTACCGGTTGAAGCTTGTTATACAATAAGAAAGAAATGTAAGGCTACTACCCATTGATTAATAATTTAACAATGTAAAATTACAGTTTTTATGTAATTTCACTTAATAAAGTGAAATCTTGTATAAAATTGTATAAATTTTTTACTGCAAACATTATGTTCGAAAGTCAATTTTTTTCATACATATCTTACAATTAGCATTTCAAACTATTAGAAATATATAAATTTTTTTTTCAAAATTTTAATGTGAATTAAATTTTCATTCGAGACTTTCATCGGAACTACATAAGTAAATTATTTATTCAAGATTTAGTCAGATTGTTTTAGTTTGCACTATTCTATTGATATAGTAAATATTTACTTGTATAGATGGCGTACAATGTATATACTATGATATATATGAAAATCATCACATGATATTCATATATGTACATATGTATATACCTAATTGTTAGATAATAATGTAAGTGGGTACCTAAATGTATTATGGATGTATATTCAAGTATTATATGCGCCAATAACTATCAATATAAGAAAGCCTATTCTTGTACCTATCATACAAATATAAAATAGTATTTGAATTACGTTTACATATAATATATACCTGTTGATCATCTAGTTGATGACAATTCCATGTAGTTTCCGGTCGGTTATTGTCAACTTTTGGTCTCGGTTTTGCTCTGTATTTTTTTTTTTGGTTTCTTTTTTTGGGTTTGTAGGCTTTTGTTAACATATTAACTTAATATAAATATATGCATATATAGATAAAAAGTTTTTAATGAATGCACATAAAATATGTAACATATAAGAAAAATAAAAAAAATATCCACATACATATGTATATGTTAGACATACATACATAATATGTATATGAAGTACTTTTGATTTCATTTTCTTAATATGTAGACTAGGGAGTGTGGGATTTTGATAATTTTTTCTCTAACTATGTGCAGTTATACATGTATATATACATATGTATACTTTTTTTTAATTTGAATGAATTAACACACAAATTAGAGAGTGAATGAATTAACACACGTATGTTTATCGTTTTTGGTAAAGGAAATTTTATTAAATATATAACGTGTATAAAAAACGTATAGGTATATAGTAGTTCTGAATGTCATAATATTTTTTTAAGGAAAGGGAAATCTCACTTAGTATTGTATGCAAATATATAATCACTCAAGTAATTATGTATGCAAATATTAATATAAATTTTGTCTCATAAATAAGTATTTGAATAGTTTAATTATTTCAAATATACAAAAACATGTTAAACGCATATGAACTGAGTCCGAATAACACCTAACTTGATTAGATTGACTATAGAGTTTTGAATCTAATAATGCACTCATAAGATAATCAAATAATATTAACTATTAAAAGTATAAGGATGTTGAAGGACTGCTTTATTATTATTAATCTTCAAAATACAATGAGAAACTATTTCAAAATAATTGTTTTCCAATATAATCGCACAGTTGGTGAAATAGATTAAGAAATATGTACATACATAAGTGTTTTCCGGGTAATATGTTAAATTTTTATATTAAATGTAGGTATATGTATGTAGACATGTTTTTAAAATGTTAATTGATTATAAATATTTTAAAGATAATTTGCAAATAAAACTTTCAATATTTAGATAATAATGCTTTTATAAAATTTTATATCTACTTTTTTTTGCTACTTTTTTTTGACATTGTTAAATCGTTGAATTTTTTCCCATTGTTTTCGAGTTGTTGAATTTCTATTTCATTGTAGGTGAACTGTGGCAATAATATCATTTTCTCTTATAATTTATTCATATTTTTACGATCCAATTGAGCATAAATAATGCCAAATGGCTTATCGGTTGGTATAAAAACTTCATTATTGTCTCCTGGTGTAACACTTTGGAATTTTGATGTATCAAAATTGAAATAATGACAATTCGGCATTTGCATTTTAATAGCGGTAACTTGTGGTAAATTATCTAAAATTTCTTTTTCCGTCAAATATAATGTATGTTGCACGCTCGGTGATGAAATTCCAATCGCATAATCGCCAGCAAAATTTTTCAATATGATTTCTTTAACTTTATCAAATGCAGCACAAAAATTGACATTATCTGTTTGAGAATATTCCCATCTTGATTCAACAATTGTACTAAAAATACGATCATATTGATCGGGTAATGAACGATATTCATCATTGACAAAATTAACAAATGACGATTTTGTTGTTTTTATAACACGTAAATCTTTCACTCCGCTAATAACAGTTGGTTTATTACCTAAAATGTTTGAAAAGTTAAAAAAATGGTAAAATATTTTTAATATTAATTAATTTACGAACATTTATATGTTTTATTTTCTTTTGAATAATTATGACAATTGATTTTATGGAATTAATTGCGTTACTTTTATTTTACATACAATTTTTTGGATAAATTTTGTGGGAAATTAAAATATACTTACTTTGACGAGTTTGGATTACATCACAATAACGGCGAGCAACCGGTGTTAAAATAAATGCATGATTATGTTTTGATGAATTGTTGTAGCCGCCAGCGACACTGGTAGCACAATCATCACCAATTCTTTTCCATGGGTATTCCTCAACATGAATGTGCACTTCACTGACATGACGGTATTTATTTAAAAAATGTTGACATAACATCATACCAAATTCCTCAGGCGAATTAACACCATATTTTTTCGCTAACAAATAAACGGTATTCTTTTGGGAATCAGTTGCAATTATATCAGAATTGTCACCTGAATTGTATTAAAAAGTCATTGAAATTTTACTTTTTTCATATTTAATTTAAAATACATACCGACAATATAATCTTTGTCTGAGTATAATTTTAAATGAGTATCAACTTCAAATTCACGTATTGAATGAACCGGTCCATTACGTACGACATGCATAATTTTAACACTATTTTTACCATAACCAGTATCAGTAATACGGTAATTTACATCCTTTTGTTCAGGAAAAGGATATTTTCCGGAATCGTGGCGTATTTTTGTTGCGAACATTTTTTATTAAATTATAATTAAAACTGAAACCGGTTGCCGACTTACGGGGTAAAAATATGTATATTAAAAAAAATGATTAAAGAAGAAAATGTTCTGAATTTAACTGGCAGTTTTAGGAGGAAAAGCAGTCTTATTTATAATAATAGTAGGAAAACAATTAAAATAAGTTTTATAAAAAAATATTGTTGACATTTATAATCATATTATGAAGATGAATGATTATATATAATGTTGATGAATGCCATTCTCTAAACTGATAAGATAAATCTTTTGACTTCTTCCATGTGATATACATACAAACATATAAATTATATTTGTTTATATTCATACTTTAGAAGACCTTAGTACCTGCTTATTTGTGTTTATACACATATGGGTTTATTATATTTTTCTAAATTTAATATATTATTTATTTGTGCTTTTCCTTATATGAGTACATAAAAATGCTCACACTTGACTACAAAATTGTGCAACGCAAATATTTCTAAGTTAATATACTTTTTTTTTATTTTCTGAAAATATAACGTTTACTAAAATCTGTTTAAATAGAAGGATGTCTTAAATTCAGTGGCGTATAATAAACTTTGAACGGATATCAAAATTCATGCAAATGTCCAAAATGCAATGAACTCAAGTGCTGGCCTTTATCCTGAAACTACTAACATGTAATGTTTGTCGTTAACGTTATGTAGGCCGTACGACAAAATTTGAAAGAACTGATTATGTTAATAACGTCCTTTCACTATCAATAATTATTCATCATAATGACGTTAATCTTTCGTACTGACATTTTAAATCAAGTATACTATCTTCAGTTATATTAGTATTCATCATCACTGTTTCAGTTATTTGAAAATTCATTTTTGATGGAAAATTTAAGTATTTTTTACCTGTTATTTTAGAAAATATTTTCGAGAAATATTTACTTGTGTACATACGTATATTTAGGTATCGACATACATAAGTATATTATGTATATTTTATATGCTAATTTTAATATTTATTTTTCACAAAATATATGATAACGAAAACAAAGTAATACTTTTATTAATAATTTATTTTAAAGAATTCTTTATTCATTCTCTTTTTCAAAATGAAATTATAAGTTTTAAAAGTATTAAAATATTGTGTTAAAATTCAACCTTCATTAATAGTAATTACTTGAAGAACTTTCATTTTCAGCGAATGCAATCTACGATGCTTATTCTGGCCTTACAATAATAATTATTAGTTTTCTTTGATGTGGCAGTTGTTTTCTAGGGAGGTTGGTTTGGAGAAATCTTTGAATAACGTTCTAAAAGCAGGATGAAAGATGAGCGATGTGGGAGGACTCTCCGAAGGATATGAAATACCTGCTGAGGAAGCATAACTAATAATGAAGGCGAGATAGTTGAAGATTTGGAGCTGAACCTCTTTGGTCTGAAGGAGCCATCTCAAGAGAAGGACAACGAAAATCCCTCTCTCGGCAGCCAGATGAAATGAAAGACGAGGGCACCAGGAGGGTCAGGTGAACGTCCATGTCAAAACGGTATTTACTGCCCCTACTGGGCGCAGCTATGGTACAAGACCCCTGGGTATACAGACATCAAATCAATGAAATGTCAATCAGAGATGTTTGGGTATTATGGGCCTACTAATATAAGACCTATGAGAGGCCTTTCTTCAGGAATCCCAGAAGGACTGATTGGGGAAAATACAGAGAGGTCCTGAGTGCCGAACTTGCACCGGTCTCGGACGTGGAGATGGCAGTGCATGAGCAGGCTTTTTAATAAGGTAAAGTGGTCCTGGCAACGGTATAGGGGAAAAATTGGCGACAGAAAGATCTGACATGAGAATATTGGACACCATGGGCGGCATGTATTTTTATGTACCAGGGGGTTATTTGTGGTGTTGGACCTTTGAACATTTTAAGGTTCTACGAACATTTTAAGGCTTTAAGAAGGGGATGAGTTTTCCCCAGCACCTGTTCTTAGCCTTCTTAGAAGGAGTTCTTACCCTTATTAATAAGAATTTTCAGAAGAAGCTTGGCTCTCGGGTACATCCCTAGACTCTGGGATAGATTTTATTCACAAGATGGGCGGAAGAGACATGATGTCCTAGTTATTCAGACCAATCAGGCTCTCGTCATTTTTACTGAATACGATGGAGAAGGTGATTGGAATAAACGGAGACCAGCTGATGGGCACCATAAACAAGATTATAAAGAAGTGGCGTTTTGTGCGTTTCAAGATGGATGTTTAAAATGTTGATTACAAAGGTTGCGGAAACTGCAGTCGGCAGAGCACTTATTCCAAAGGCGCAATGGATGCCTTACACTGTCTAGGGAAGATATAATTAGGGAAGATATAATAGCTTCACCTCGCTGCTGATCGACCGGAGGAACTCGCGTGGCAAGTTTCCGGATTGCCCACTTGGGTTACTAACCTAAAAAAAATCTGTGTGAAGACGAGTGCGAGGTATTTGAAATAAGAACCATGTAGCATGTGAATATTGAGGCCCCTTGACTTATAGAGAAGAGTGTAAGAACAAAATTTCTGTTTTCCCTTCCCGGAATATAGCAACAAAAACATCTCAGTCAGTTTGATTAGTTTAAGGAAGTTATGGCCATATTAGGTGTATTTTAGGTTGAAATAAATTCCCCATTATTGATAAATCTGACGACGATTTCAGTTCTTATAATTTTGAGATGATGTTTAACATTAGTGCAAAAAAAAAAAAAAATTGAACAAAAAAAAATTCAAAATTATCGAAAATAGGTAGACGTTATTATATTTTTATTATACGAGTAATTTATATTGCATGATTTTATTTTTATTACCTTACAACCAATCACTAATATTGTGAACTGCTTAAAAGTTGTGCATTTCATACGCACGTCTTTGTTTTTTATTTACTTTTCGTGTATGTATATAAAATGTAAATTTATTTAAAAATTAAAAAAATTTAGATAATAAAACAATTTCTCATTTTTATTTGAAAATTCAATAAGAAAATGAGAAATAAAAAAAACAGTAGTATTAAATTTTTACGGCACTTTTTTGAATGATAAGAGACGAAGATAACTGTAATCTTTACAGCCAGATCTGTCAGTGTTAACATCGCTAATAACTGCTAAGCTAAATTTTATAAACTTTCTATACATACATATATATTTTTGTATATTACATACAAATTTTTGTAAAATTTATTTAGCATATTTTTTGTATGAAATGCATGAAATGTATGAATTTTTTTAGTATGAAGAAAGCATGTTTTTGAACACATTTAACACGTTTAACTGGCAAAATTATGAGAGATAGAGGAAAATGTCATTCGAGTTAACTTTAGATCTCATCGTACCGCATTGGAAAAAACAAAAAAATTTTCGAAAAATTTCGAGTTTTTTAAAAACAAATTCAAAAAAAAACAAACATTCTGACTTTGACGAACTGTATCTCGAAAACTATCACTCAAATCAAATTAATTTCAAGACCAAACATAAAGATCAATCGTGTATATAACAAGCGCCTAATGATAACTCGTACGTTGTATTGTTGAACTTATAAGCATTTATTTATGTACAGGAAAAGACCGGTATCTGTAGAAAACGAGTATATTTGCATCTACCCTCCACTCATACAATTTTTTGCTGGAAATTGATCAAAGAATCATTCCTGAAATTATTCGCCACCTTATGCGAACTACCCTGCATAATGACCGTAAATATGAAAAATATTATTGCTAACTTTCTTTACTTTTCATTAATTTCAATATTTAAAAAAGATTATAATGTTTATGATTAAGCAAAACTTAATATTAAGTTGGTTTTTTGAGATTTTCGTTCGTCTGTCACTTAAATTGTACAATGTAAAAGATGTAAAAGTGTTTCAATATAGTTATTAATTTTTTGAACAAATTACATGGGGAATACTTAAAAGTGTTTTAAGCAACACTTTATGTATATGTACGTATGTATAAAATTATAGCTTATGTTTGGTAAATATATTATTATTTTGATTTTAGGCAACTGAAGTTTTATCGAGAATTTATCCATTTAAAATGAAGTACAAACGTTTTTAGATTAAATGGGAAGTTGTTTAATTTTTTCCTTATTTCTAATAGGACTGCTTTATTTTATTCTTGTAATTTTATCATTTTATTTTTATAATTTATTTTGCAATTGTGACACAACTATGGATATATGAAAGAAAGTTTAAATAATTCAGTCATTGTCTTAAAGTTAACTAATTCGCAAAAAGCGTATGAACGTTTTTAAATTTGAAACTTCATAAATTAAATATTAATTAAATAATTTCAATATTGTGTTATTAATGCATACTTGTATACCATATAAGTATGTTTAAGTTTAATAAATTTTTCAATTATAAAAACCAAATTTTAGCCACATTAGCAGGTGAGAAATGTTTAAAGAGAAAGTTATTTAAGAGAGGCCGCAATGTTGTTTTTTTTTATCAAAAGTTTGCATAACGGCTTTTCTTCATGGAGTTGGATTGGGATGGTTATCACCAGCGATCATATATTTACAATCAAATAATTCAATATTAGTTACTGGTCCAATTACAAATGATGAAATTTCATGGTTAAGTAGTGTACTTCCAATCGGTTCAACAATTGGAAGTTTTTTGTTTGGTTACATTGGCAATGCATATGGTAGAAAGAAGGCCTTAATATGCTTGATTGTACCACAATTGGTAAGTTCAATCAAATGTATAAAAAGTTTTCATGTTTAGTTATATTAAAAAATTGCATATGTACATATTTATGTATGTATTCAAAAAAAATTTAAAAATTCAGGAAACAAAGAAAATCTTTGATTACAACTTTGTAAAGTTACTACAATTTTAATATTTTAAAACAATGGTGAATTAAAAACATGTGAAATAAATAGCAATAAAAAATTTTATATGTTGATTGATGACATATAAAACTGTATACATACATTTCAATTTCAGGTGACAATAAAATTGTTTAAAATTAAATGGTAGTGTGTATAGTCCTATAGAAAAACTAATAAATCTCGTATTTTGAAATATATTATAACTAAAATAGGAAAATTTTCAATAAAATATTTTTCGGATTTGTTTTTAAATAATAAAATAATTAATTTATTTTAAGATATTTTGGTCAACAATACTATTTGCGGAACATATTGAAACTCTCTATTTTGCTCGTATAATGACTGGTGTAAATGCTGGTTCATCGTTTATTACAATTCCAATTTATATTACAGAAATTTCCAGCAAAGAGTACCATTATTAATCGCAAGTGATATTTAGTGCACATAAATCCAAGAATTTAAACTTATTTTCAGAATTCGTGGAAGTCTTGGTTCAGTATTTACATTGGCAATTAGTATTGGAATCACAGTTGGCTATATAATTGGAGCTTATTTGCCATATGAAGTTATGCCGAAAATTTTTATTGGTTTTCCAATAATATATTTTATAAGCATATATAAATTGCCAGAAACACCACAATTTCTGTTTTTGAAAGGAAAACAAGATGATTCAAAAAATTCATTGAAATTTTATCGTAGTGCCAAGCAATTAGATAATTCTGGTTTTGAAGTTGTATATACGGAATTCAAAGAGAATTGTCAAAATACTCAGAGCGGTTCAAAAATAATTTTATCGGATTACAGTAATTTTTTATTTATCACAAAGAATTTATAGTTGTAATTTAAAGTTATATTTCTTTTGTAGCTAATAAATCAACTTTAATAATATTTGGTCATTGTTTTGTTTTGGGATGCATGTATCTGCTAACTGGCGGATATGTAATTATTAATTTAGCTGGGAGTGTGTTCAAAGAAACTGGTGCTGATTTAGATCCAAACACAAGTGCTATTATTATGGGTTTTTGTCATATTGCTGGAAATTATTTGTCAACGGTGATTGCTAATCGAATGACAAGAAAAAATTTATTAGCTTTATCTTCTGGTTTTTCATTATTGGGTTATACGGCAACAATCATTTTTGTTATGCTATTCAATCAATATGAAACCTTAAAAAATCATAGTTGGATACCAATATTAACTTTATCATTTACAATATTATCAAATTCTTTTGGTATAATGTCACTTGTATTTCATGTTATAGCTGAACTTGTACCACAAAAGGTTAGAAATTTTGAAATAACAGGAAAAGTATATTTAATGTAAATATTATATAAATGTTTTTTTATCAATTTTAGATTAAATCACATGCCTTCGCCTTTGTAAATATTGTTCTTAACTTCGTTAGCATCTTTAATTTTCAAATATTTTCAATATTAATGTTTTATTTTGGATTAGGTAGTGCTTTGGCACTTTGTGGTGTGTCATGCCTTTTATCAGTTATTTATGCTCTATTAGTTTTGCCAGAAACTAGCCAAAAATTTGTATGATTAAAAGTTATTTTTAATTATATATTTTCCTTTATGAGTAACGTACAACTATTTTATTTGGAGATTACGTAATTGTTTTTTGTTAAATGGCTAAATATTAAAGTCTCTTATGTACATACATATGTATGTAATTTATTTACATTAATATCTTCAATGAATTTCAAACAATGTTACAGTTTTGGCGATAAAAGTTAAGTTGAGTAGCAGCAAGTAATTTACTAATAATGTAATTAATATATTTCTAGTACCTACAATACCTTATTTTATTTATTGTTAGAATATTATGAAAAATTTGTCAAAAATTTGATTTAAAATAAAAAAAAATGAAAAATTAAGCGCACACATTTTTTTCTTCATTTCGAGATTTTTAAAATTTAAAATTCTTAAGTCATTTATTAATTTAGATAAAAACAAAAATTAAAGAAGAAATTTTAAATTTATACCTTCAGATGTTAGCAGAGAAATTGGAAATTTAAAAGAACAACTAGAATTTTTCAACAATCTAACCTAATTCAACAAAATAATCTACTCGTACAAAAAACTTAAATGCCGAAAGCAACTTCGTTATTTTGTTCGATTAAATAAATGCGAAGAAGTATTAATGGAAATGAAAACCTTACAGAAGGAAAATGCTATTTTAAATAAGAAATTAAAGCATTTACGAAATGAAATTAATCATAAAAACTCAACTGAAATTGGTAAGGTTTTATTTGAATTTTTAATTTACGTTCTAAAATAAAATACATATAATTCCATTACATTTTTGGAAAATTCTGAAGTAGGAAAGAAAATTAAATCTTTAGAATTTAAAAAAAATGAGCTTAATCAAGAAACACTAGAACTTCATTCTCAAGAAAACATGATGGAAAATTTTGAAAACTCAAAATTTTTTTATTTGGAAAACGAAATCCACTACCTAAAGGAACAAATTAATATCTTAAAAACAAAGTTTAGTCAGAAAAAAGAATGCTCCAAAGGCCAAAATAAACGACTAAAAAAAACTCAACTTAATAACTTTTACAACACAAATTCAGGGAGATCAGCAAGCAATTGCAACAATAAATATTTAAGAAATTATAAATTATATGAATGTGAAAAGGGAGAAAAGACAAAACACATACGTCCACAATCAGTACCTTTAAAATCGAAACCGTTGTGTACTTCAAAATTGCAGAAAACAAATGAACAAAGTAAAAGCTGTTGCTCTATATATCCTATAGAAAAACACAATTTATTATCAAATATTAAAGACATTCGGATTGATATCGTTGAGAATACTGAAAAGTCTTTGCCTCAATTTAATGTTTATTTATATGGAAAAAAATCTGCTCTTTCCAATTCAAATTCATCTAAAGTTCTTAAAAAATGGGTCTCCGAAATTATTAAGTTCGATGGAAAACAACATGTCAAACTTAACATAACACAAAGTAATGAATATAAAACTTCTGAGTTTAAATTTACTAAGGTGAAATCATTTAATGAATTTTCTAACAAACATTCAGAAGACAAAAAAATTTTAGGGAATACGAATTCGATCTTAAAGAAAGATGTGAAATTGGATAAAATCTCAAAATTAACTCAAACAAGGTTATCGAATATTAGCATTAGTGACAATTCAACCACAATAAAATCAGGAAATAACGTGGTTTCAAAAAGCTATTCTTCAAATGTTAATCAAGTGAAGAAGTCATTGCATTTATTTAGAGGTGATGAAATTACATTTAATAAGTTTTGTATGAAAGAAATGCGTTCTCTTGCAGTAGGTTCTTTACCAGAAAACGAAAGATATATTCCCACAGTTTCGAAATTAGATTTAATTTTAATTAATAATATCGGCAAACAACTTGTGTTCAACGATCAATTTACTCTCAAAAATTTATTAAAAATTAAGATTGAAAGTTTTATTCCAAGACCACTTAATATTCTTGAAGATATAAAATATATATGTAAATATTTTCCAATTAGGGAAACGACTAATATTACTGTTAAACACGGTAACTTAATTTCAAGTACAAACAGAATTTTGAATAAGAATAAAAATGGAGCTATACGAGTATTAAACAACAATATAGGTAAATGATAAAGGAGAACAAAAATTTGTTAAATGCAAGGACGTCCGTTATTTCACATATTTACAAATTTTGCTGGAATTTTGCCAGAATATCTGAAATTCACCTTTTTTAAAAGATTTTCTTAATTATTTTAATAATTTAATTGGAAATTATACGTTTATTATAAAAATGCAACAAAGATCCTTTTGAGAACATCGAATTCACTTTACTAACTTAATCTGACTTAAAAATTGCAGTAGTACTGAATAAATGGACAACTTAGCTTATAGTATGTGATTGCCAAATTGTGTTACAATACAGTATTACTGTTTTTTTGAAGTCATGGAAAGTTGCGATTTATGGACGCTTTCAAAGAGTTTTTGAATAAGGTTTTTTCTTTAATATTAAAGTAATTTTGTTGAGGTGGTAATTTTTTCAAACCCTTTTGAATATTTTGAAGCAGTAGTGAATTAACAAATTTAGATGCAAATAAGGTTTTTTATATTTTTAAATAAAGATAATGTAGAATTCAAGCTTTATGAAGAATTTTTGTTTCGGCAAATGTTGTATTTATTTACAAAATTTGTAGTTATCAGTTTATCTCTTATTTATTTTGCAAATATTCACTTTTATATATGTATAAATAAAGAAAAAGAATTGATAAATCTGTTTTTGTTAGCTTATCTTGCATAAACATTTAATAAAAACTTTTTTTATTTGAAAATATTACTTTCGTTTTAGTTCTAATTAAAAATGTTAACCTTTAAGAGCTTTTTTAAATACAAAAAACAAATTATAGCCACATTGGCCGGTAAGAAACATGAAGCTACTGGGAAATTTTAAGATTAAATTGATTTCAATGTATGTTGTGGTATTATAATCAGTGTAAACTCTATACTACGCAAGCAACATCTCAACTTCGAAAATATATAAATGTTTTTACAACATTTCGGTTTCTTATATAGAAAATTATATATAAATATAAATATATGTAAATCGTCACAACCGAAAAAAAGCAACTGTACAATACAAACTGTTCGCTAACTTAAAGTTTTAGTTTTATGCATTGTTTGTTAACGATGTACAGATTCCACTGCAACATTATATACATACGTCTCATACATATGCCTATATTCTAAAAATGTAACTATATATTAAATTTTCTATTTCACTTTGATATTTTATATTTTAAAAGTTTGTATAACGGCATTTCTCCATGGAGTTGGATTAGGATGGTTATCGCCAGCTATCATCTATTTGCAATCAAATAATTCAACTTTAGTTACAGGCTCAATCACTAATGATGAAATTTCATGGTTAACTAGTGTATTTCCTATTGGCTCGGCGAGTGGAAGCTTTTCGTTCGGCTATATTTGTAATTCATATGGAAGAAAGAAGGGTTTAATGTATCTGGTAGTGCCACAATTGGTAAGTTTATTCAAGGTTATTTTGTTTTCGATAAGAATAATATGTTCTACCTTAACTTTTTCCTCATAATTTCTAGATATTTTGGATCGCAATAATGTTTGCAAAAAATATCGAAACCCTCTATTTTGCGCGTATAATGTCTGGTATAAATTCTGGCTCATCATTTGTTACGATTCCAATTTATATAACTGAAATATCTAGTAAAGAGTATAAAATGAAAAGAACATAAGAGTATATATATTTTTAAATTTAAAAACTTAAAATTAATTGTAGAATACGTGGCAGTCTTGGCTCATTATTCGCACTGGCAATAAGTACTGGAATTACAGTTGGTTATATAATTGGAGCTTATTTACAATATGAAGTTATGCCGAAAATTTTTATTGGTTTTCCAATAATTTATTTTATATGTATATACAAATTACCAGAAACACCTCAATTCCTACTTTTGAAAGGGAAGGAAGATGATTCGAGAAATTCTTTAAAATTTTATCATAGCGCAAAACAAGTAGACACTTTCGTTTTTCAGGCTTTGTTTACAAATTTTAAAGAGAATTTTCGAAATTCTCAAAACAATTCAAAAACGATGTTTTCGGATTATGGTAAGTATTTTTGTAAAGAATGTAAACTTAAAGTGTTCATGGAGCACATGTCAGAGCGACGAATCGTGTTCAATCAACTCTGCAAAGTAAAATGTTAATAAATAAAATTGATAGATGTTTACTTACCAAAAAAAATGTTGCTCCTTTGTGTTTTTCGTAGTTAACAAATCAACTTTAATCACATTGGGGCATTGTTTTGTCTTGGGCTGCATGTATCTATTAACCGGCGGATACGTAATTATCAATTTAGCTGGAAGTATTTTTAAGGAAACTGGTGCCAATTTGGATCCGAACACAGCCGCGATTACTATTGGTATTTCTAACATTGCTGGCAATTATGTTTCAATAGTGGTTGCGAATCGAATAACAAGGAAAAATTTAATTGCTTTATCCGCCGGTTTTTCATTATTGGGTTATATAGCAACAATTGCTTATACAATGCTATTCAATCAATATGAAATCTTAAAAAATCATAGTTGGATACCAATATTAACTTTATCATTTACAATATTTTCAAATTCTTTTGGTATAATGTCACTTGCTTTCCATGTTATAGCTGAACTCGTACCATCAAAAGTAAGAAATTGGAAAATTAAAAGTGCAAGTCAGATACGGATCTAAATGGTGAAATATTTGATTAAAAATTGCTGTGCTTCTCTTGAACTCAAAAATATGTTGAAAATTATAGAGAGAAATAATATTGTTTCAGTTTATGTTGATATGTGAATTTTTTTCCTTTGGATCCTTATTTGCCTTATATGTACATATTCAACGATAAAAATGATCAATTTTTTATACAAATAATGCAAAATTTTTAAAATTTTAGATTAAATCACATGCGTTTGCTTTTATACATGTTGCCATTAACGTCGTCAGTATCGTTAACTTTAAAGGATTTTCAGTTTTGATGTTTAATTCCGGATTAACAAGTGCTTTATCATTTTGTGGTATATCTTGCCTTATATCTTTAATATATGCGTTAGTAGTATTACCGGAAACTAGTGAAAAATTTGTATGATATTAAAATATATTTAACAAAACAAAAGTTTTAAAATTCTATTTTTTAATTTAAAATTAAGTTAAAAAGTAATTTTTGTTTTCTGTATCCTGATACCGTTCGCTCAATTTAAACGCTTTTGGAAGACTGCGGCCTTTTACAGGAACTTGAGCCTTATGAGGAACTTATAGTCGAAAACTCAAGAACAAGAGTTGTAAAACTTCTTATATTTTAATTCATACATTGCATATAAATTGTATTGTGAGACGTGGTATTTGTGATTAATGTGGTATCACTAACTGTTACGGTTCGCAAATCAAGTTTTTTATATGTTATAATAAATAACACACCTTAATTAATATTGCTAAGTCAACTGAACAATACGCTTCAACAGATAATGAAAACATAATTTATTAAGTTGCAAATTTTATTGAAGTAATATTTTAATTTTCAAGTAATATTCGATCCTTTTGAAAAATTTTTTCTTTGAACACTTTCTTCTTGTTACTTCTCGTTTCGAGTAATAATACAAAATTCTTTAATAAAATCACACATAAACATATGTATGTGTGAAAACGATTGCTTTTATAAACCTTTGTTCATTAAAGTACTCCGCAAATGTACGTTCCCATGTATATTATGGGAAAATGATTGAAAGTTGACGCTGCGTAGTGTTTTTAAAATAGCCTGAAGTTAAATTTTGATGATTACAAAAGATTTTCAATTAATTTAAATTAATAAAATACTATTTTATTAAAATTATTATGTAAAAACTTTTTTTTTGTGCTCTTATGAATTTTTAAAGGTGGTTAAAAATTTTACGATATTTAAAGCTTAGTGGGGTTTATAAATTCTTTTTGTATCCTTTTTGTTCTTTAACGCAGAGTTTTTTTAATCAAATGATGAAAGTTGAAAAGATTTTTTTTAAATCTGTATTCTTTGCAAATTTTGTACGAAACTTTATGAATGTGCACAAGTTCCATTTAGTTTTATAATGCTGCGTGATTTTACCTTACGGAAACAGGTAAAAATATTTTGTGATTTTAAGGTAATGAAGCGTAAAAATAGGTTTCTCGTATACATATGCATTTGAAAGTGGGAATTCACTTATAGTGATAAGTGAATTTTTTTATTGATAGTTGATTTTCGGCATATTTTTATAATTATGATTATAATATAATCATAACCAAGTCTTTATGAATATGCTCATATTTTAGGTCATCCAAAAAATCTGTCGTCGATTCGTATATTTTATTGATTTATTGATGACATTCATTTTATTGTAAATTTCGTTAATTTTTACCTTAAGTTTGTTAGTTATCCGCATGGAGCGTACATACACAAAGTAGCGCCTGAAGAAGTTACTTTATAGTTTAAATATTTGATATATATGTATACCTATTTGATGGGGCTCAAAACCGCACTGTCACCTCCTAGTGGTGGGCCCCGGTAATGGCGGAGGGTAAAGGGGTGATTGAAACGATCAAAGTTACGTTCGTGTCGTTGTCATGTCTCGCTGCGAGCCTTTTGCTTTGTGAGTTTCAGCCCTGTCAGCTGACGACAGGCGTCCCAAGTCAAGGTGGAACAGCATATGCCAATGACTGCGTGGCTAAGTGGGAGCTTAGTCGTTAGTATGCGGACTCTGGATACCAGGCGCCCTCCAGTTTAAACGAGCCTTCCCATGGTATGCCGGGCTCTGCCATGGGTGACTTTACTTTCCCGCGCTATTCGTGAGACCAAGAATGGAAAAAATTTAAACAACAATAACAGCAAAAACAACAACAACAAGAACAACTGTGACAAACACGACAACTGCAACAACAATAACAACAGTGACAATTACAACAACAACAACAATACTAAGGACAACATAAACCCAGTTAGTGCTCAAGGGCCTGCGGAACCAGAGCTTCTCTCGACTGACGCAGAGGGGGAACTCCTTCTCACGCCAGTAGAGGAAAAGGCGGCGCCTCCGATGGAAACGAATAATCAGAATCCTCTTGGACCTATTATCCAACAAACTGAGGAGAACCTGAAAAGGTTGGATATCAGGGGAAAAAAACAATATTTCTCTGGTGCATCCGTATCGCGGCTTATATCAGGAATGGAATGTCCCCAGAGGAAGTTCGCAGATATGAGAAGGAAAGGCTAGAAAAGCTGAAGGCCTGCGGATCGGGTGTTGTGGCCGATCATCCCCAGAAGAGGGAAAGGTCAGAAAGCAACACCCCTGAAGCAACCCCCTCAAAAAAGAAGTCGATAAAGGGCAATGTTGAGGGAAAGGTCCCTGGGAACATTCGCCAACAAAACCCGCAAACGATTTCTTATGGGGATGCAGTAGCACAGGTCAAGGTGGCCATCACTCATAAACTGCATCCAGAGGAAAGGCTATCCGAAGTCCAGATGGGAAAAATCAAGGTAGCCATCATGGATGTAATGGATTAAGTTGTGGATTATCATCCACAATTCACTGCAGCGTTGCAAAGGAATGGATGGATATCCGTAATATGAAACAATCAAAACACCAGGGAGTGGATAACCAGTGTCTGCAGGAAGATAAAGCCTTGACGGTTGCAATGTCGTGGTACTGGATGGCGACGACATGCCCAAACAGCATGCCTGCGTCACCTACGTGTCAAAGGACGAGACAGCTGTCAGTCTCTCCAAGGACAAATTCTTAAGTAGGATAGGGAAGCAAAATCCCAGCCTCAAGATGAGTTCCTGGAGGGTGCTGAGGATGGATAAGGAAAAGGATGGGGGCTGCTCCATCACCTTTTCCGTGGATGATTCCGGATTGGAAGATCTACGGAAAACGGAGTTCCGACTTTTCCTGAACTTCTTCTGTGTTACCGTTCGAGTTAATGGAAGAAAATCCTCCCAAAGTGCTGGCGCCAGGGCAGGACGAAACAAAAAACCAATGCCCACCGCGACAACGACCAGCATTTCAGGCCAACCACAAGAGCCAAAGCTCATTGGAAAGTCTGAAGTCGCTCCGAAAATGGCGGCAAGGGAAACGGAAGGACCATCGAGATGCATCCAAATAAATCTACAGCATGCTAGGCCATCTACTGATGTTCTAGCTCATAAATTTATGAAGGATCACCTCGATATTGCCCTTATTCAAGAGCCTTACATAGTGAAGGATCGGGTTAAGGGCCTAACAGGTGAGCTATTGTATGATAATACAATTGGGGGCAGGCCTAGGGCTTGCATTCTGTTTAGTAAAAGGCTAACGTATTTTCCCATTCCAGATTACTGTTCTAAGGATCAGGTAGCTGCGTTGGTGAAGGTGAAGTCCTCCGGGGGCTGGACAGAGTTCATTGTGTGCTCATCCTACCTCCCGGAGGACTGTGCCCATCCGGACGAGCAACTGAGGGATCTAGTGGACTTTTGTGGAAAGAGAAACTTTCAACTAATAATAGGAAGTGATGCCAATGCCCACCACACCGTCGGGGGAAGCAGTAATATAAACAAAAGAGGTGAGTGCCTACTTGAATTTATATATAGCAATAAATTAATGGTTATGAATGAGGGCAATAGGCCGACATTCATAAATGCAATTAGAGAAGAGGTCCTTGACATCACCCTTTGCATTGAGTTTATCGGCAGTAGGGTTGGTGGATATGTCAAATATGTTGGATGTCAAATGAGACATCCATGTCCGACCATGGGCAGATTAGGTTTGATATCATGGTCTCCGGGGGCCTGACAGAAGAAATGTATCGGGTACCCCAATCCACAGATTCGAGTCAACTCGAAACGCTCCTTATGGATGGGATTGGATCCATTCCTGCTTCTCTCAGAACGGTGATGGATATCGAACTGGCCAGCGAGGCCCTGACGGCGGCTATTACTAATGCCTATCACGGGAGCTGCCGTGCTAAGCCGAGGCGGAGCAATAGGAAGTGCCCGTGGTGGAATGAGGAGCTTTCAAGGCTTAGACTAAAGACCAGAAAGCTATTCAATAAGGCCAAGGCGTCGGGTTCATGGGAAGAGTATAAAAACTCACTCACCAAAAAATAAAGAAATTAGAAAGGCGAAGAGAATTTCGTGGAGGGCGTTTTGTAGGGGCATTGATGAACTCTCCAGCAGTGCGTGTCTTCACAGGGTGCTTTCCAAAAAGTATGCTAGCGGGTTGGGCCTAATGGAACGGCCTGATGGCTCCATGACTGAGAACAGAAAGCAGACGTTGGAGCTTATGGCGTCAACGCACTTTCCTGACTCGGAAATTCTTCGGAATCACTCAAATGCGGTCGTTGAAGCGAGGGCATCCTGGCTCAGGAGGGATGACTGGCAACGATCCCGTCTGGTCTTCCCGATGGGCAGGATTAGATGGGCTGTTTTCTCTTTCAGGCCCTTCAAATCTCCAGGTGATGACGGGATATATCCTGCATTTTTGCAGAGGGGTTTCCAACATATCGCCAGAGCACTGTTGGAAATTTTTCGTGCCAGCTATGCGTGGGGTTACATCCCTCAGGCATGGAGGGTGGCTAAATTGACGTATATTCCGAAGGCGGGTAAGCGACCAAGCAACCACACAAGGTCTTTCCGTCCAATCAGCCTTACTTCTTTTCTATTGAAAGCAATGGAAAAAGTGATTGATAGATTTATACGGGACGATGCACTGGGAAGCAATCCCTTGCATGAATCTCAGTACCCCTATCAGTCGGGAAGGGCTACTGTACTCGCTCTGCAGAGTCTGGTGGGGGTCCTTGAAAACTCACTGGAGGTGCGGGAGGTGGCAGTAGGTTGCTTCCTTGATATAGAGGAGCTTTTGACAACACCCCATATCATGTCATCTGTGAGCCGTTGCACAAACGAGAGATTGATGCGACGACTAGCAGATGGGTTAATCGGGTGCTACAGGATAGGATTATTAAGTCCACCATAGTTGGCGATATACTCTTCATTTCCGATGCAAAAGGGTGTCCGCAGGGCGGGGTTCTTTCGCCCCTCCTGTAGTCCATTGTATGTGATGATCTAATCGCTGCTCTCAGGCGCTCTGGGACACGTGTCTGGGGATACGCCGACGATGTGGCCTTCGTCGTACGGGGAAAATTTGACAGCACTATTTCTGGTCTTCTACAGCAAAATTTACGTGTTGTGGAGAGGTGGTGCGAAGGCGTTGGGTTAAATATAAATCCAAGCAAGAGCACTTTGGTCGTCTTCACCATACATAGAAGCAGGGACAGATTAACGAGACAGATTAACGGAGTGACCAGGGCAATGCGGACGGCTCCTAACGCTGCATTGGAGGTGATGATCGGGTTGCCGCCATTGCACCTCCATATATTGAAGGAAGCTCGGCTAGTGACTTACCGACTTCTTTCTGGCGAGGACAGGGCAGGGGTAAAGTTAACCCACAGGACTCACAGAGACTTCATTGAGAGCGATCCGATTCTAAGAATAACCATGCCGGTACAACTTCGACCATAAATACAGGGTTATGTTTCGCGATCGATGGTCGTGGGATCGGGTGGTCCGGTACTTGAGTTGGGTTCGAGCGTGTGGTATGCGGACCGGTCCAAAACGGAGTCGGGTGTTGGTTCGGGTGTGTACGGTGTCCGCCCGGACACGCGTTAATATGCAACCCTTGACCCGTATTGCACGGTGTTCCAGGCCGAAATACATGCAATAGAGATCTGTCTGAGAATCAATCTAGAAAGGGGGTATAGAAACCGCACCATCTATGTGTTCTCGGACAGCAGGGCTGCACTGCTGGCGTTTCGTTCAGCTCAGGTTACATCCAAGCTGGTCTGGGGCTGCCTTGCTGCACTTATGGAATTGGCATCGGAGAACAGAGTCATTTCGCTCATTTGGGTGCCGGGCCATAGTGGCCATGCGGGCAACGAAATTGCCGATGAGCTGGCACGGAGGGGATCTGGGGCTGACTTTGTGCAGCCACTGCCTTTCTGCGGTCTGTCTTTTTTCTCCGTGGGGGCCAGGCTTGCCTGCCTGCTCGCGGCGGAATGCGGCCGTCACTGGCGGGACACGAAAGGGTGCCGTCATGCGATGGTGCTTCTCTCGGCGTGTTCCAGCGGATTCACCGCAGAGTTGCTGGGGATGAGCAGGAGCCGGGTTCGCACTATTGCGAATTTCTTCACGGGGCACTGCCCAGTGAAGTACCACCTGCATAGGCTGGGGAAGTCGGGCTTCCCCCTGTGCAGATTTTGTGGGGGTGGCGATGATACCGCCGTGCACATTCTCTGCGACTGTCCGGCACTGGCTGTTCGGCGCCGCAATTGTCTTGGACATGGGTCTCTAAGTGTTCGGGAACTGTTGTCTAACTCCCTTAGGGATATCTCCGGCTTTGTGGTTGGGACGAGGATATTATAGGCGGGAGCGTGTGGAGGCTACAATAAGTCAAGAATGGCTGCGGTGGCTTAGGGGGTTTCTTCTGTCCCACTCGGTTCCCTTAAAATCTACAATCTACAAATCTACAATACCTATTTGATGTATATGTACCGGTTTTCGAAAATTTTGGAAAGTACGGAAATAAAAAGTATAAAGTAGTTTTTTTTCAATAAAACATTTTATAATAAAAACTCATTTATTTTTAGGTTTTCATAAAGTTTCATATCTTTTATATATATGTATATATGTATGTATTTTTTTTAAATCTCAGCATATAATACACATGTTTTGTATTTTACTATAAATTTATGCATATAAATGCGTGTATATAATATATAATTATGTATGTAACTGTTTATTATTTATATGAGAATATAAGATTAAGAATACAATTTTATTTTCAATACATTTACTTACAGTTCTTCAAATAACATCAGTTTTATTTTTTTTTTCATTAATTTTATTATTTAATTAAAATTGTTAATTTTATGATATGGTATGTTTTTGTTAATTCTTTTGTTTTTCAAAATATAATATTTTTGTTATTTACTAATTTTTTTAAAGTTATTTTTGATTTCAAATACAATTTAATTGAAGTAATATAAAGTTAAAATGGAAATTATATTATACTCGTATGTATATAATTTTGATTTTGTAATAATTATGCTGCAATATACGCACATACATACATATACGCATTTAGTATTTATGTATGGATGCGTGTGTACCTAATTTTCCTTGAATTCTCTTTTATTCTTTATTCATGCACATGTCTTCTTTTTCTATATAACGGTATTTATTAGGTATAATTTATTTTATTTACAACTAATAACTATGTGTGTTTATGCAACTTTTTAATAATTATATATAAATGTACAATGTTTATGTTAATTTTTTTTTTGGTTTTTTATATATATATATATATATATATATATATACATACATAGGTTATGTATATATTTTATTAGCTGCCTATTTATGGCGTAAAATTGCAATTTTTGTAATTTTTTTTTGTTTTTTTTTTTTTTGAAAGGGCTGGAACTTTCTTTAATTAATTTTTGTTTTTCTTATTTTATGGTTTTTTTCTTACTTGAGCTTAAAATAAAATTTTTAATTTCTAAGATTAGGGATAATAATTTTAGTTTATATATTTAAAAAGGTTTTCTTTTTTTATTTTGTAAGTTTTGTAGCAATTTTCATTCATTTAAAATAATAATAAAATAAATGAAAAAAGTTGAACAATATAGAGAAATTTAGGACTGCGGATTAATAAATTTTTTACAAAATTCATACATATTTGATTTTAAGAAAATTTTACATATTACATGCATACTTAGGTATTTCATTTTATTGTAAACAATTATATTTTAAACACAAACCACATTCATGTGTTAATAATTTTTACGAAAAATATTCATATAAGTGGCTGAGTTTTCTCGTCAGATAAACCCAGTATTACTTAGTGATGCGCTCTTTTAAGAATAATCCACCTATACACATGATGTTTTGCAATTATACTGTATAGAAGTACTACAATTTTTTTTCCTTCTACTTTTCGCATCCTAATAAAGAGTGCTTTAAATTTAATATTTTGATCCTAAATTGTGTTGCTGGAGAGAATGTTTAATTAAATTTCTTTAATGTGTTAATAAAGATTGTTATAATTTTACTTTTAATATGTATGCATATCTAAGAATTATTCATGCTTAAGAATTTAAAAATTATGTAAAATTTTCCCAAAATAATAAAATAAGTAGAGATTTGTTTGCAAAAGTAGCTCTATATGATTTTATAATAAGTCCCATTATATTTTTACAAGTTAAGAATAAGAATTTTTTTAATATTAAAAACTTTTATATATGTTTGTTTTATATATAGATGCAATGTATATGTATAGATGTCATGAAACTATTTAACCCAAAAATCTAATATTTGTAAATATGGTTTTAGCAGGACGTTTTCGATTACAGAAATTTACAGTTTTATGTTGATTTCCGTTGCGGTTTTCATGCAATCCTACCAAAAGTTTAAATACATCTTCTTTACTAGGTACACATAAATAACGAGCATCAGCTTCGTAAGTTCTGAAAATATAATAAAAATAATTTTAATAGTTTATTTTACAAAAATTTGGTATTTATTATAACAATATTATAAATGTTGAGGGTACGGAATATATTCTAGTTATGTGCTATAAAAAAAATAAGTTTCTTAAAGAATAAGAGAAATTCAATATGTAGAATACTATGGATATTAAGCAATAAGCATTGCATTAATTAACATAAAGTATAAGTTAATTTAATAGCTATTCTATCTATAGGGTTATGATGTGTGTGAGACAATATGATAACTTTTTATGAAAAATTTCCTGGTAACTTTAACTTGAAACACTTTTTAATCTTTGAATAAATTTTATGGAAGATTTTTAAATATTTTAATAAAACAATTACGAGTACAATTTTCTGAGAAAAACTTTTAAAAGTTTGTATGAATTGCTATATGACTGTTAAAACAAGTCAATTTGCAAACATGCATATGTGTGTATTGTGAAAATTTTGTGTTAAACATTTTTATTGAAGAAATTTTCTTTCCTTTACCATTAATATTCAATGGTTTTTATTAATTATCAGAATTTCACATTGCAAATTAATTTTACTATTTAATAAAATAGAAACCAATTGTAAAGTGTACAAATTTCCATGTTTTAGATTTTTTATTAAATGAAATCAAAATAAATTTATAAAGACTTTTTTTACTTCGTTGTATTTATTTTCTTATGTATAGCCTAATTAAAGGATAGCTTTTTCTTTACTTCTTCTAATTAATTTTTTAATACGATTAGCAAAAGGGATAATCTAATTAAGTATAGTAAAAATGTTTGTAATTATTTCTTTGTATTAAGAGATTTTATTAAGAGATTTTTTTAGGATTATAAAAGGTGTCCCAATCCGCACATACACACACATATGTGCACTTATATTTTTAAAGGTAAATTAACCTTAATTTTTTTCTTATTTAAAAAATATAAATTTAAGAATAAATATCCTTAAACTTTACTTATTTTTGTTTCTGTTACAAGGGATGATTTGGTGGCAAGGGATAAACATTTTATATAAATTTATTTATTAAAAATAACTATGTATGTATATGTTAATATTATTATTTTTCAAACATTTGCCTACGTGAAAAATTATGCGAAATATTAATTATATAATTGCAAATGGAGACTTTCTTGGACATTTTTTCCTAAATGAAATTCACGTATAAGTAAATAAATTGTTATTTCAGTTTATAAAAGTTACAAAGAGCGTTCTGTAAAGCAAAATTTTTAGTAGTCTTCATATTATTGGTTTATATAGTGCAAATTGTTCTCAAATGTAACAGAGTTCTTTTTTGTTCATGTGTATCATCATTACTTTCTGAGTCAAATTCTGAGGTTCCATAGGGCAGCCATCAAGGGCAATTGCTCTTTATTATCACTGTTAATAATGTTGTGTCCATTTTGAATTACAATAATTCTTCATTGTAATTTGTGCTGATGATACGAAAATTTTTAAAAAATTCCGTTCTGCAAATGATGCAGTTCCTCTTCCGATGATCTTCGTAACTTTTACAGATGGGGCACTTTTTTTTTTTTTTAAATTGGCAATTATTTTATTGGCAAGGCAAGCTCTATGTTGGGATTTATTAAGCACTGGTTTAAGGGATTTAAAGATCCCTACATTTTGTAGTCGACATTTTTTAACAAGATTCTTCTTTGGTTTGCCTCCATCTAGAATATGCCTCAAAGATTTGGTCACCAAAAAATATTAATAGAATAACCACAATATTAAAATGAATATTAAAATTAATAGGATTGAGTCTATTAAAAATTTTTTGTATGATCTGTGCATCGTCCCTTTTCTTGGAAAAGTCCTATTTTTTCGCTGTGAAAACAGGCTCAAATTAATTATCTTAAGCAAAAGACGTGATGTCGCGGACGTAATTCTCATTTTGCCACTTATGAAATCTGATTTGATCCTCGACTCCCGATATTTTTAAGAAGATCGATATCAATTTTAATATTTCGTCTCTTTCTCCTGACCTATTCCTAGTTCTTTTTCATAGAACTAATTATGAGAAATCACTAGAATGTGGAATTTGTGTAACAAGTTGAAGAACACACTTGATTTCACTCCTGTATGCACAAAGATCCTGTATGCATAAACGCGGTTTGTAATAGGCCTATTGTTATAATAGAGTCTTGTTGTTTTCTGCCGTGCAACTCCAGGCACAATTTAGTCATACGTCGGAAACTAAAAAGGCCTTAGTGTTTAAATTTTGCATAAAAAAAAAATTAAAGTACCAAAACTTGGAAAGTTTAAATAATGTGGTACCAAAATCCCGTCATATCTTTGTGTTATAAATGAAAAGACACGTTTAAAAAGTCTTAATTTTTTTTTGTTTTCTTAATGGTTATATCAATTAGTATGTAAGGTGAAAAAATAATTGAGAGGAAAAATTATCTAAAAGGTCCTTTAATATTTTTGTAAATATTTGATTTTTATCCTTAAATAAAGTAAAAGCAATATAAAAATTATAAGCTACACATTGTCATTGAAATTAATTGAAATTTCATAAAGTTTGTTTTTCAGTCGGAAGATTAAATTAAATATAAAAATAGAATCTATTTATAGCAATGTTTAAATTAAATTTGAAATAAAAAAGAAAAAAAAAAGAAAAATCGAAAAATAATATGTACAAAAAAATTTGTTATTCAAACTGATTAAAATGAGAAGCATTTTTGTTAAGTCAAAGACCTGTCAAGGTAAGCAATCAATTTGCAATAAAATTTTATAAAAATTTTTGAAATATTTAAAAGGAAAGAGGGAAAAGGTGGCTTTTTTTCCAGTTTAATCATTCTGCAGTCACATTATGTTATGATAAATATTTTGTAAACGATAAAATTTTTATTTATTTGTGTGCATTCAATTTATTCGGCCTCATTTTTTTTTATTATGATAACTTTTAAAATTAAAATTTTTCTGACACATTTCTAATAAGGTAAAAAGAGAATACATACTTATTTTGAAAGAGTATGTATTCATAAAAACAATACGTTAATAAATTTCACTAAAGCAAGTGGTTTGTTGAGTATAGCACATTTCCCATGAACAAGTGAAAATTTTTTAAAATGATTATATTCAACTCCTGCTTTACAAATTTTTTTTACGCTACTTTGAAATAACGCGGTTCACGTTATTGGTGTTGATGTTTTACACCTAGCAGTTATTTTACTATTAGTTTTTTCGCCGGATTTTTTTGGGAAATATTTAGGGTTTTTTCAACTTAAACAATTTTTTTAGGTTGTTCTATGACCGAGTTGTTGCAGGATTTTGTTTATTTTTAGTTGTTGCAGGTGCTTTAGGAACGTATCTGTCGTGTAAAAAGAGAGTTGGGTGAATACCACAATTATTATATTTTTTTCGGATTGGTTGCTTGGTTGTATTTTTTAACTTGGTTGCTAACGCTTGGCTGATTGGTTTATGTGGCCGCGGCCTATTTGCCGCCAATCTTTGATATTTTGTGAAGCCTGGTCATACTGCTCTGCCCCACGGGACCAGTCTGGCCTTGCCCAGTTTGCATATTGATGAAAAAGACTCTCTTTCTCCATCTTCTATCTTCCAGTAGCTGCAACAAGTTGCATTAGCGACACTCCTAGCCTGGGGCACATGCTCCGCCCAACGGAAAAAATTCCGTGTACCCCACAAGACTGCCGTCAAACTGACAATGCTTCTTGGAAATAACATCGCGAGAAGCCCACTGGATTTCCCAAGATCGTATTTTGAACACATTTTTTTTTTGCCGTCAGTTTTTTTGTCGTATAAAATATCAACTTTCTAAAACGTGTTGACAAACGGAGGAATAAACAGAGTAAAGGTTTTTTGCAATTTTGCTGCAATAAAGTGCTATTTTATTTGACATTAGTGTGGTAGAATTTACCACAAATTTGATTGATATAGGTATCCAAAAAAGTTGATAAATAAAATTGATCTTTCCTGTTGAAAATCTTTCACAAATTTTGATAAAACTATATTACGTAATTTTACCACGTAATATAGACCAAATTTTTGTCATTTATTTATGGCATATGAACAAGAAAATAAGACTAAAATAATTGGAAAAAAATTTTAATTAGAGTTTTTCGTACAATATTTAAATTAAAGATTCTATGTCGTAAAAGACCTACATATAGTATGTTTTTTATTGCAAAATAAAAACAGAAATTTTTTGCATAAATTTCTATGGTTGGTTTTATATTAATTGTATGGATTAAATTTGCATATTTTACAATTTAAAATGTAGATTCCAAAAAAAAAGAAAGAAGAATTCCGCAGTTTGCATAAACATTGAAATTTTTTTTTATTTGTTTAAAATTTAATTTTTTGTTCAAAGCCAAAGGAAAGTATAAAAATAATAACATTATTATTTAAGATAACATAATCCTTTAAGAAAAACAATTATAAAATTTTTTTAAGGATATCAAATACATTTTTTTACACAGAAGAAGTACGTTAGACTACAGAGTATAATTTTTATTGCATCATTATGATAAAATTAAAAGTAGATCTGAATACTCTTTTAAATTCAAGGATTAATTTTTATTTAATAGAAAAGTTTGCATTTTATACTCTAAAAGATAAAATAAATATGTGGCAGAAAAGCTTTCTCAGAAGTAAGATTTGCAAATTATTGTTGAAAATTTTTAAATAATGGGCGTGTGTATGTTTTGTGAATGTGCACTTTTGTATAACGAAATCATTAAAAGGTTAAAGTTGTTAAATACTTTCGAACATTAGTGATAAAAATTTATAATAAAAGTCCGATAACACACTGTACTGTAAAATACATTTATGCAGATTTTAGAGTTTTTATATTTACTACATTATGTATTTACACTTCATGCAGTTGAGAACTATAGGCTTGCGTAAAATCCACATAAATGTATTCCGGATTTCTTAAACAGAAGTGAAATGTTAAATTTCACTAGTTTCATTGAGATAATTAGACGGTGACCAATCTGCCGTAATTTTGTTTTTTATATACATATATATTAATGTTGAAGGTTATTGATATTTATTATTTATATTTGTTGGTATTCAATATCGAATGTATAGTCAATTTATTAGTAATTACTTTTTATATAAATATTTTACTTTATAATATAATATATTAAGTTATGTAATATTAACCAATTTATAGTGAGCTGACCAAGACTGAAACCCAAAACCCTTCAGTTAATGGACTGGTATCAAAACTACTCACAATTGAGCAGATATATTGCACTGCATTTTTAGCCAGGATATTTTCTAAGGTATGTCAAAAATGTGAAATGAGCTTCAGTTATTAAGAATTAAAAAACACAAATTCTGATCAGTTCACCTACTTCTAATGTAAAGTGAGATATTTAATTGTCATGGTAATCTGGTTAGCGGAAATATGATTATACAGAAGTACGCTAGCAGATCAACTGACAAATAAGCGCAGTTAAACAAACCAACATATCTTTAAAACTTGTTTATTTACGTTTTAACAAGGAAGAATGCATTAGATGTGAAAACTCGACATGTAAAATTTGATAAGATGAAGAGTGCCGAGACTACACAAGTAAAAAATTAAAAAATTGCATATTACTAGGATTTGTTTTTTTTTTAAATATTTTAAAATTTTCAAGTATGATTTTTATTTTGCACAATATTACTTAAATTTTTCCAATAATTAGATCTATAAAGATCTAAAGATAAGTATTAGAATTCTTATATTCAAGTCGGTTAACGTGATTTATCTATTTATAAACTATCTATTATATCTATTAAAGATTTATCTATTATATAAACTATTTTACTAATGGCAATAAATTTTAATATGTTCGTTAATATATTGCTAAAATGTTTTTAACAAAATGAGGAAATTGTTACTAATTAGAGCGCAAAAGTATACTAATATGGGTAAATAATTACTACCATTTATTAAAAGTGCCATCACCACTTCATTTCATGTATATTTAACAATACAGAAATGTAGTCATTGAAATTCTTTAAGAGCTTGCAATAATATGAAAGTTATTTTCAAAATTTAATTTTATTTTATTCTTGTAATACAAAAGTGCTTGGAAATTTTTATTGTGCTTAATTACATCACATTTTAAAAATAATTTTTAATTTTTTAAGAGAACGTCATGGTGGAGCCTTTTTCCTTTTCTTACATGTGACTAATGAGTTATGTGACAATTCAATGAACAATTATAATAACAATTTTTGTTTGCCTGCTTACATACTATGCAATGTATATATGCTATGCGATAAATTCGAGCAGAATTTACCCCTTTCATAGTAACAAGACCCACATATATTATTATATTATATTCAGATGTAGAAACACACATACATGTATATATTTCGTTCTCCTTTAAATACTTAAGTTCATTACAAACATACGAGAACGAGACCAAGAGACGAAAAGCAATAAATTCTTTTTTTTAATATTATCTTGTATTTTTCTTTTCTCAGTCGCGTAATGTTAACTTTTGTGTTAACTTGTTGCTATAAGATAATTTCGCAAGGGTTAATGATGTATCATTGCTCTTTTTTTTATAATATTTTTCACTTTTTCATATGTACCCACTCATGTTTATGTATACTTACCCTCTATTTCTGCTGCTATGTCTTTTCCAAGGATATCTTCTATAATATCTTGAACGCTTTTCTAGGCCAACATTGCTACCCTGAAGAAAATTATTTACTTCAAGACTTGAATCAATTTGTTGTGATGGTGTTGTTATAGACGGTTCTTCTACGTATACTATAGGTAATGTCTCAATTGATGGGTCCTTTTAAAAGATGAGAATGAAAAAAATTTAAACATACAATTTATTTATAGAAGTATTTTAAAATTACAAGGTTTTTAAAATAAATTTATCACATGTTATAATTAAAATGTTGAATTTATAATAGTAACTTGTGATAATGTGAAAGTCACTGTAGGAATATTTTCTAAAATAAGATTAATATTAGTTTGACAAGTTGAAAAGTTACGTTATAAAAGTTGAATTTTTATAGAATAAATTGCTCTCTTTTAAGGAAGATAGAATATATGTACATACAAAATTTTAGCAATAAATCAAATTTTGAATTTTTAAATTTAAGATCACATCTTTAACAGCTAAATTGTTCGTAATTTATTGAGACACTCAAAAAGTTCATGAAAATCCAGTTTGAAAAAGATGGCTTTATCTCTTTTAAATTACGTGGCGTTCGCATCTCAACTTTCCTATTAGAGTTATCATTATAGAATTTCAAATGAAATGCCACATATGTTATGGAATGTAGTGTTAATTCAATTTTCAAACTATTAGGACCCTTATTACCATTAATGGTATTTTATTGAATTTTAAATGCACCTACACACATATACATTATCTTTCAATTGTATAGAAAACAAAAGCATAAAAATTTTGCATCGCATTAATTGAAAGTTCTGAAGTGCGTGCCAATAATATTTCAACATTTTTTTTTGCGAGTATAAAGTGGCCATCCACTACATTTTATTTATGCTCGTTTTTATTTTAACAACGTATGACACCTGCGTTGTATATCAAAAATAATTGCAATGTGCTGTCACGTAACTACAATAAAAAATTATCAGTCTTATTTTTTTAATTCAAAAGCGTATTGTTATGGTTAAAAAGTGTGTAGGTAACCAAAAACCAAAATCATGAAACCTATACATAATTTGCTATGCATGTAGATACGTATGTGATTTTATTTACCTCAAGCATTTGCATCATAAGGGACGTTTTACTAATAATATCCTGTTCATCTCGGATGTCTTCTTCTATTCTTCTAAGAACACCAATTTTATCATTGATGTCGATATCATTGTTAACCAAACCGCTATTTAGGTCCATATAGTCATCACGTTCATCAGAATTGTAATTTTTTATGAATTCTGTAAATTAGAAACAATTAAAAATTTATGGGAACATGAAAGATAGGTAAATATAATGTAAAATTTTTATAGAGGATAGACATTGAATATTGCCTTGATTATTAAATTCATGAAATAAATACATACATATTGAGAATGAAAGCTTTTCCACTGCTGCTGACAGGACATTGAAAATATTTATTTAAATTTATAATTTAAGATGTCTTTTAAAATTATTAGAAATTGGAGGCCTATTTAAAGGAACCAGCAAATCCAGAATCTTGGACAAAAGGGAAAAGAGTTCACAGTCCACAGAAAAACAATGAGTGGTTGAATAGCAACTGATAACAATATTCAATGCAGTATTTTACTTTTACATATTTTTATAATATCCATATAATATACAATATAATTCGATACCATAGTGGATTATTTTGCCAAAAATTCCTTGAACTTTTAAAAAAAAGAACCAAAGCAATAATAAAATTATTGTTCTCCTTACAGACATAGGTTTTAAAAAAAAGTTTACTTTTAATATAATGTGCGACTTCATCATTAAATTATAAGAACAATGGAACTTGTGTTTGACATAGATTTCTAACAATAAATTTTATTTTAAAAGTATTTAAAAAGTCATACATGTATTATGTTTCTATTCTTCTATGGGTATTGTGTATAATTTCATAAACAAATATAACAAAAGGATTTTGTATAAAAAAAAATATGATATTATATAACAAAACATCTGATACCTCAGTTATCTTCTTTCTTCTGTCTATTTTTGTAGATTCTATTATGTTAAAAAAAACAACAGATTTTTCGCCTGTTATTCTTATTGAGACTGTATATTTGGGTGAGAACGTGTACGTTAATTGAATAAGTAATAAGGAATATAGAGAGTACTTTTTATTACGTTTAAATATGTGTAAACTCGTAACGGTTCTTCATCCTAACTGCATAATCTGACGTGGTTTTGTAATAATTATGGTTGGTGGTAGTTGAAATTGAGTAAAAAACTGTCTTTTAAAAATATTCTCTTGAAAATTTAATTTAAACATGTTTTTTGGTTAAACTAGGACAGATAGAACAATTCTAGGTGTTTTTCGTGAGTTCACCATGAACTCACAGAATCCGCAAATATTTAATAATATGTTGTAGCAAAAACATTTTTGCAGATATTTGAAAAGCTATAAGTCCACTCTCGTTCAATTGCATCTCAGAATTTTGCTACTCTTTTCCCTATAGGTGTGTAAATGATTGACTAAAATTCTTTTAAATAAGAAGAATTTAATAGTTTCGTGTATCATACCTTAATTAATGCATCATTAACACTTAAAACATTGTGTATATTCTACACTTAGCTGCTTTTATGAATAAATAATGAATACAGAGGACAGAAAACGTGTCTTGAAGGAAAAATAAACTGTTGAATGAGATGAATTTCAAAGAAATTTACCTTACCGAAATTTTATATTCTTAGTTTGTGTCCTAAATTTGTATGCGTACTCTTATTTGTCCCAGTTTTTTCATTCGTATGTTTGCGTTTATTATTATTATATTTTTATTTCTTTGGTGACATCTTAGTTGATTACTTAATTATATTTGATGGGTTTTCATATATTTCAAAGGAATTTTTTTTTTGTGTTTTGAAGTATAACGTAATATACGCCGTCCAGAAAGGACAAAGGACTGCGAAAAAAATAAAGAAATTTGTTGGCTCATTATATGTACATATATACACTGATTCTAGTTTCCTTTTGTTCATATTGAAATTTAGTTCATGTTTTACATATTCTTTGATAAATTATTTGGGATGAGGTCACAGTAGAATTTTAATAAATATTTTAATAAAAATTTTGTTTATCATTTTATTTTTCTTTTTTCGGTATTAAATTTAGTAGCATATAGAGTAAGGCACAAGTGCAATATATACGCGCGTTTTCTAAAATGAAAACGAAAGAACTAAAAAATTCTTATTATACGGTTGGGAGAATATCAAATTTCCTTAAAGTTAAAGGTAATATATCAAAAATGACTGATTATAATATATTTGAAATAATGACATATTATGTTCTAAAATAAAGCAGAAAATATTCATTTGTACGTTTGTTTAAAAAATTCATAAATAATTATATAACATAAGTCTGGGACTTATTTATACGTGCCTATCTGTTCTTCTTTTTTTCCTATAAATATGGGAGGAAAATTTGAATAAAAATTGTTTTTTTTTTTGTCACACATATGTAGTGTTTATGTGACGTTTTGATATTTCGAATTCTCTGATTGGAATATAAAAATAACAAATTTTAAATGGCGCCCGACAGAGAGGTAAAAAGAAAATTGTAACAAAGGCAGGAACAGTAGAGTTTACAGTTAACATTGTACAATTAGTGAAATGAAATATTAACGGTATAGGTATAATTTTGACAATTTTCAAAAATGTTCGGCAACGACGGAAAGGTAGGTTTTTGGAAGATGTCAAATAACTATGATCTGCAAAATAGTTTTTAAAGGGTATGGTTAATACAAACTGATTCGAGAATATTCTACTTCTACAAGTTGCGCGTTCTACGTTTCTGTCATACATAATTCAAAATTATATGACGTTATTTGTATCACATTCCCTCTCTGTTTCTCTCTATGTTTTTAACTAAAATACTTTTATACATATTATACGGATACACATTGTAGCAAATTTATTATACGCTCCACCTAAGTTTTACAGTTATATGCCTCAAAAAAAATTATCAAAATTGCGTGGTAGATCGTTAACCCACATATCTTTTTGAGTGTACATATATGGTATTCGATGAATAAAGTCCGCCTTAAAAAGTATTTTTAATATTGAACATGCCGTATACATAGTTATATTCAAAAGTTTAAGGATACAATTTATGATTCTTATTAAAATATCTACTTAAGATGTGCTAGTGAAAATAGAAAATAGTAGGAGTAAAAGATAAGGATTTATTGTTCTAAATCAGTAAAAATTAACTACTTTATTTTTGAAAATGTCAATACATACATGAATCTTCTATTTTAGATATTAATTAAATATCTTAAGTATGTAATCTCCATTAATCACTTCTAATTTTATTAGAAGTGGGATAGTTGTCAATTCCATGCTATTTCAATGTGGACGAGGCCTGCTGTCTCTGCGTGGAAGAGGCCGTTTTGTATAAATATGTATGGCGGCAGCTCAGTTACTGCCGAGATACTTTGTGACCCCGATAGAAGTCTCGGGGTTTGGAGTGGGTATAATACAGAAATTTTTCAAGGACTTAGATATAGCGCGAATGTAGATGGAGACGGGATCCTATGTGAGTGTCAATGAACAAAAAATCCTGTGTCAATGAGAGAACGGCCTAAGAGTCTTGGTTTTCTACAAGAAAAAAAATAATCATGGTTAAAAAAATAATAAAAAAAGGTGTTTAGCATCGACCGAATCGTCAGTATTGATCAGCGGTCAGGATTGCATATAACCTGATCAAAATTAAAAATAATTTTCGAATAGCTTTTATGAATTTGCAAACTGTACCCCATTATTGGTCAAATCTACTATCTGTCTTAATTTTAAATTTACGAGTACAAAGATCTGTCGTGCTAGAAAAATTTTAGTAATAAAATACTTAGTATTAAAAAAGTTAAACGCATTTATTACACAATAATGCGAAAAAGGGTATTTAAAATTAATTTCCTTTTAAAGAGTACTATTCAAAAAACCCACACGTAAATACCTTCATATAGACACTTAAAGTTTAAAACATTGTAGCAATGGGAAAAAAGAAATTTTTACATTTTATTGTTTCTAAAGAGATGAAAAAATCTATGAAATTTTTCTCTTTAAATAACCATAAAATATTATAATAAGGACTTTTGTTTTAAAATGTTTTTTGTTTCTTACCATCACCGGGATCATAAATAGAACGATCTTTATCGTCTGGTAATATTTGTGTTTGTGGCAAATAGTCATCATGGTGTAGTGATGCTTTTAGAGATGATGATGATGATGGAGATTTTTTACCAAATAGTGTTGTTGATAGTGGTGATATCATTGAATGTTCCATTAATTGTTGTAATTGATGATTTGCTGCTGCTGCTGCTGCAGATGATGATTTTAGTTCATTACCATCTGATGATGATGATTGTAGTTGTTGTTGTAATAGAGAAATACCACTTAAATTTTCTGATTGTCCATCTGAATTATCGCTTGCTAATAATGATTGTAAATTATCTGTTGGTGATAATGATCCAGATACTGATGGATTTGTTCTTAATGATGAAAAACCAAATACACAATTATACGATAAATAAGTTATTGCTAATATCCAATAGAAATTTGTATGCGACATCTTTTCATATATAGTTTTATAGTGTATATAAATTTTATTTCTATTGTATATGGTATATGTGAATTACGAAAGGTAAAATTATTGTTTCAGGTGTAAAAATTTATATACTGCAGAAAATCAGTAAGTTATTTCAAATGGCATTCTTTTTCTTTTTTTTTGTTTATTTTTCAAACCAATAATTGATTGTTAGTATTGTATACTGCAAATTGTTTCAAAACATTTAGATACTGAAGGTTTCTATTAAAATTTTTCTCGTGTAAGAATATTTGCAAAATATCATCACAAATGAAGAAGTCTAAATCTGAAATAAAAATAAAAATCATTAAACCTAATTATATTGTAATGTCCCAGACAAAGATGGAATTAATTTGAACTGTATGGAAGAAGAAGTAAAGAGAAAGATTAGAAATTGATTGACCGTTATTTGAAAATAAAATAATCTTTAAGGAGAGAAGAAAACACAAAACAAAAGAGGAAACATAATATAAGAGCAGAAGTTGGAAGTCCATTATATAGATGTAGGTTGGATCTATTTAATTACGGTAATGGACAAAATTATAGGTCCTTCACTACAATCGTATATTATAAAACAAAATTAATGTAGCATTTTGCGTTAATCTTAAGACCATTGTTTGTGGGTATATAGAGCAAATATAAAAAAATATTCTTGAAATAATTTGATGACCAATAAAAAATAAATGAAAATTATATAAACTTTAATTGAGTGTTAAAATTAAGTAATTTTGTTGTCCTTTCGAGATGATTGCGTTCCCCGAAATAGAGAGAAAAAAAAAATATTTATTAAATTTATTTTTGGTTTTCCTAATTTCGTTGTTCTTTTTGGTTAAAAGAAGAACGTAAATTAAAAACGCGGATAAAAATATTTATGATGGTAATTATTTTTCATTACGTAGAACAATAAACTTATAAAGTGAAGATTTACAGGTTCATTAAAATAAATTTTAATAATCAGTACATATGGAACTCATTTTTAAGTACTTGAGTTTTAAGTACAGTTTCACTTACACTCGATACACTTCATAGTTGCCTGCCACTGATATTTAGCAATTCACTTTAGAGTGTTGATCAATTGATTTTTCATAGGGTTTATAGATCATGGTCGTTAAAAGATGATCGAAGCCGAAAGCCAGAGAAATGTTGTTTTTATAAATTCATTGTATGTGTCCAGTTGAGGAAAAGAGATAGAATTTGGCAGATTGGATAGTGAATAGTTTTGCGGCTGAAGTCAACGACCATAGATGCTGTGAAATACTTTGTCAATTGTTTCTAGTGAAATTTCTATTAGGAATCGGTCGCGGCCATTAGTACCGTTGGTTTTAGAGAATTAACTTAAAAAGCCTCTATGGCTACGGACCAAACGGGAATATATAAGACTGAACGACGTTTTATGGCAGTTGCCATATAACTTTAAATAAAAAATTATCATGTTCCGGAAACTGTTTAAGTTACGCATTTTTTTTTATAAAAAAATTATTCAAAAAACAATATTCAAGATGGTATCAACTTTTATTATTTTTTGCGTAGAATCTTTTAGCATTATCTGCCTTATAGAATTATGTATTTTTTCACAAGTATCATATAATTGACAGAGTCAGTTCTAACTGTTTTATATTTCTATTTTGTTATAAAAGTTTTTGCTAATTTTAATTTTAAAAGAAGTTTTGAATCTTTTTCGCTCAAAGTTTCAATTTCATTGTAGAGAACGAACACTTCATTTTTTCATAAAAAAAATTGTATAAATAATTTTCTTTTATCCTTGAAACAATTTATAATTACTAATATAATTTCTTCTCAGTTGGTAAAGAGGTTAATTCTGATCACCGCATTATTAAAGTCAAAAACGTGTTCTTTATCCTTTCTCTTAATTATTTTCGATGAAGTTTAAGAATTTTTTTTTTGATTTTTTCTTTTTTAAATAGTTTGTAGAATTTTTTTCCAATTTTTGTAAAAATAATTTGAATTTTGAATAAATTAAAAAACAAAATCAAAATTATTTGTGGCGAAGGAATTTTATACTTGAATAGCGTTAATTTTAATTACTTTTTCAAGGAAGATATAAATTACCATTCAATTCAAGGAAACCATTTTCATTTTAAAGAAGATTTTCAAAATCTTAAATTTTTAAATTAATATCAAAAACCGCAAATTAAAATAATTTTTAAATAAATTATTTGGATGTGGCTTTTAATTTATAAAATTTATTTAATTGAAATTTATGACAATTTTCAATGTAATGTTAAATTGAATATTTTATTAAAAAAAATCCAAATGGAATTTTAAAATCAAAAATGTATTTTGGTGTATTTCGGAAAAAATTTCATTCATGTGGAAATTTTACAAAATTTTATAAAAATAACGTTAAATAAATCCAATTCAAATCAATGGTTTGTAAAGTAGCACGTTTTCACTGAATTTCCTGATTTTGAAACTCGATAACTGTTCCACAATATATTGCAGATTCCAGGAACAGGGTAACAATAAATCGTGAAGCATAATTAGTTAGATCTATGTTGTGACCCGTTCAAGTAAAGTCTTGGCGCATAAAGTAATTGCCTGAGACCTTCCTTTCCAATAATACTGAGCACCATGTGGCGAGCAAGTCACCACAACCCCTCCGCTGCCAAAGTAGAGCACCCAGTAACTTCCTTCTTCTGCAGACTACCAAAGCTTCACACTTAAGGAAAAGGTCTTCATCTCTTCCACACAAAACCTACGGGTACCGTTGCTTTACAGACCCAGCTTTTAAAGGTGACCCGTGAGTCGACAATATCTACTTAAGAGGATACTCCTCTGCTTCCTGGACATCCCGCCTGTTTCGTAGAAGAACAAGCAATTAATTAGCTATTTTTTTGCATTTGCGGAATTTGAAATATTCTTTTTGTTTCGATAAAAAAATAGTTTGGACCTTTTTGAGCCATATTTTTTATGAGTAGGCCAGGTAGGTAAAATTATAGTTCCATACAAACAAGAAGTGTGCTAAAATGGAAATTTAACTGAAAATTTAAAAAAAAAAATCATATAAAAGTTTTGGAATCTTTAAAAAAAATGGCACAAGCCAAATAGTAAGAAAGAAAAAAAGGTAATGCAATACGTTCTCTTTAAGGGATTTTTTCTATCAAATTTACAAAAAGGTCCTTGTAAAATTTTTAACAATATATTGCAAACACAATATTATTTAAAGTACCATAAATGTAACCACAAATTTTCATTTTTTTAATCCTTTTTTCATATCTTAAAGTTAATAGTGTATGTAAGTGTGTGGCGAAACATTATATAACAGGTAATTATAATACAATTACAGCACAGGAAATAAAAGGGAAAAACACAAGGAATTGTAAAAAGGGAACCCCGTGGGTCGGGCAGACTTTATTGTATGCTCATCCTACCTTCCGGGAGACCGTGCCCATCCAGACGAACAATTGAAGGACCTAGTGGACTTCTGTAGAAGGAGGAACTTCCAGTTGATAATATTTAGTGTTGCCAATGACCACCACACCGTCTGGGGAAGCAGCAATATAAATAAAAGAGGTGAGTGCCTACATGAATTTATATATAGCAATAAATTAACGGCTATGAATGAGGACAATTATAGGCCAATATTCGGCATGGATGTGAACAAAATTAGGCCAATATTCATAAATGCAATTAGGGAAGAGGTTTCTGACATCACCCTTTGTATTGAGTTGATCGGTAGTAGGATTGGTGGATGGCATGTCATCAAATGAGACATCCATATCCGACCATAGGCAGATTAGATTTGGTATCCTGGTCTTCGGGGGCGTGGCAGAAGAATTGTATCGGGTTCTTCAACAGTGGCGGATATCGAGCATATCATCAAAGCAGCCTCACTAAGCCAAGGCAGAGCAATAGGAAGCTTTCAATTCTTCACTGAGAAGCAATCCCAGCATGAGTCTCAGTACGCCTATCAATCAGGAAGGTCTAGATCTAGTACACTCATTTTGAAGAGTCTAGTTGGGGTCTTCGAAAAATCACTGGAAGTGCCGGAGGAGTTAGCTGCTTCCTTGATATTGAGGGTGCTTTTGATAACATTCCATATCACATTATCCGTGAGTAGTTGCACAAACATGGAATTGATGCGACGACAGGCAGATTAGACAGGATTAATCGGGTGTTGCAGGATAGAAATGTTCAGTCCATTATAGCTGATGATACACTCTTCATCTCCCCTTCTGTTGTACATTGTAATGGATGACCTAATCGCTGCTCTACAGAGATCCTTGGCGGATGTCTGAGGCTATGCAGACGACGTGGCTTTCGTTATACGGGGAAATTTTGAGAGTACTATTTCTGACCTTCTACACCAAAATTTACATGCTGCGGATGCGTTGGGTTAAATATAAATTCCAGCAAAAGCATTTTACTTGCCTTCACCAAATGCAGAAAAAGGTATAAATTAACGAACCCAATTCTGTCTGGTGAACGTATTGATTGCTCTAGATGTAATCTAGAGTAATCAATAACCTTGGATATCGTCGCTTCTGGAATACTCACAAAGATAGTCATCGAGAGGGTGTAGGAGCCTCATTGGTGGGACTTTGGGCATCAGTCCCATATCACTGTGGCTTTATACAGTCCTTGCTAGCCCCATCGTCACCTATGCGTCGATTGTATGTTGCCGTAGAGCTTAGCAAGCGGGTGTGCGAACCAAGCTGGAAAAGCTACAAAGGTTGGTCTGCCTGGGATTGACCGTGGCAATGCAGATCGCTCCCATCGCTGAAATGGAGATAGTGATTGGATTGCTACCATTGAACCTGCACACAGTGAAGCGAGCTCGGCTAGTGACTCACTGAATTTTCTTTGGCGAGGACGTGGCAGGGCGAAAGTTGGTCCACAGGACTCACAGAGACTTTATTGAGAGCGATCCGATTCTGAGAATAACCATGTCGGATGCCTATCTGCCGCGATACAATTTCGACTGCAGGTACAGGGTTTTGTTTCTGCTGTGGGATCGAAGCGGCCCAACAAATGAACAGGAACCGGGTTTGCGCTATTGCGAATTTCTTTACGGCGTTCTGACCAGGAAATCGGCCTTCTCCCTGTACAGATTTTGTAGAGACGGTGACGAAACCGCAACCGCAATTGCTTTGGACAGGCTTTCCTAAGGGTGGGAAGGCTATAATAAGTCAAGAATAGGTGCGGTGGCATGGGGGAGTGTCTTCTTGCCCTAC